CCCTGAGGGGCCCCAACCGGCCAAAAGGACAACCAACACAGCGTTTCCCTCCCCCTCTTCGCTCACCCGTCAGCTTCCGTATAACCGCCAGAGCCTCCACATCCAGACACACGGGCTGTATCTCCACCAGGCTGCCTCGGGGCAGGGACGGCACCGTCACGTACAGCACGTTGGGCCGCAGGGGTACCCGGACCTGGGAGATGAATCCAGGCGGCATAGCGGGTCGTCAGCAAGCCATCTGGGACCATCAAGAACACGCCAAGCTTACCCCCCTATAGACGTTATCGTATTACTACTACCCCCGGATGCCATCTCTTTGCTTTGCCGCAAAATCCTGTCTTCTCCCCCCCACACACGCACACACACACACGGTCCGGTGCGCCACCCCCAGCCCGCACACCGAGTCCACCCATCGTGCAAACACCACCACGACCTCACCTCCGGGGGCTGCAGGTACGGATCTAACACAGTCGCTGGCGCGGCAGCCGCGAAAGCAGGGCTGCCAATCGCCATCCGCCCGCCCGACCATACCCCTCCACCTCCGCCACCAGCAGCGGCGGCTGCTGCCGCCCTCTCCGCCTCCTCCTCCTCTTCCTCTTCATCGAGGCCATCCGCACCCAACAGTACGACCCGCCGGCTCGACGGTGCACTGATCCGGCCGCCGCCAAACCCCGCCGCTGCGTTGAGCCACGCGCCATGGGCGCTGCGCGGCGTGGCGAGTCCGCCGGAGGAGTCGCACGTAGCACTGCGCTGGTAGCGGAAGCTGCTGCCGCCGCCAGCGAGACATACAGAGCCGCCGGGGGGTCCGAAGCTGCCGCCACTGCCGTTGCCCTGCCGATGCTGCGCGTGGGGATAGCACGGTAGGCCGTGCTGCGAGGACGGCGAAGAGGAGGAGGAGCACGGTGGCAACGAGGAACAGCAGCAGCAGCAGTAACAACAGGGAAGGAAAAGTAGCAGCAGCAATAGCAGCAGTGGCAGGGCCCGGCGGGGGCAACAAGGACTGGGGGGTATAGGTGAGGGTGTATGTCACGTTGGGCTCTGGGCTTTGGGGTGGCACGGCAGGGCACGTCCTCCCTGCATCCCCATGCACCGTGCACGTAACTACATCCAGCCCTCCATGTGCCGAAAAGGACCCAAACTTCATCCCTCTTAAAGAACCCCCGTCTCCATCTTCCGAACCTCTGCTAGGCCGCTCACCCATACACAGGTCGAACCCCGCGTACGAAACCAGCTCTCCCACCCCCAGCCGCTCCTTGCACCAATCACCTCACCCGGCCTGGCCACGATTCCGTCACGAACTTTCCAATGAAGGACTTGTAACCTCCTCTTCTCCACCCCTGCCCATTACAACCTATTGGGCCCCCCAGGGACAACCGGCCCCGAACTCTAGCCTCTTGTCGGGACCGCTAAAAGTCCTCCCCAGGTCGGCTGTTTCCGTTCCTAGCGCCCCACCCCCACCCCCCACCCCCGAGGACTCCCAGCCCACCCTGTACCTCCAAGATGGCCTCTACAGCCGCCCGGGTCAACGCACGCAGCTCCGCACCCCCACCGCTGCTGAAGCTCGCGCCGCTACGCTCCGCCGCCGCAGTGACCCCGCCACCGCCGCCGCCGCCACCACCGCCCACCGCCGCCGCCAGGTACACGGTGAGACCCAGGGCGGCGCCCACCACTGTGGAGCGCTGCGCCACCGCCACCGCCTCACAGCTCAACATGGCTCGAAGGACCTATGGAGGAGCGGAAATGGGGGAAAGACGAACCACACACGCTTGAAGCTGCTGCCAGGGCAAGAGAGTATCAAACGTAGAACTGAACGAAAGGCGTCCGTGGCGACCGTGACCTCGAGATGAAGAAGTGAAGAAGATGTCGGAAAGACTACCTACCTAAGCCGCCAGAACTAAAAAAGAAATAGTATTGCCAAGCCGTAAAGAAGTAAGTGTAGAAAAGTAGTTGTGAAGGCGGCGGAAAAGTAGTAAAGTAGTGCTGTCGTAAAGCTGCCATAAAGTTGCTGGCCTGGACAAACAGCTGATTTGCTGATACTGAAAGGCTGTCGGTATGCAAGTGCTCCTCCCAACCCCCCAAACTAAAACGCGCGACCGACCCGACCGACCCGACTATCCTAGTCCGGCTAGCCGACCGACGCCAGCGCGATATACCAAAGAAGCTCGAACCACCCTTTGGACTCACCTGGCCAGGCAGCAGAAGCAGCGGGCAAAGGCACATGCGAGGCAGAGAGGGAGAGAATTTCACACACGCACACACAAATGGGGGAGAGAATTACACACACGCACACACACCAGAGTGCAAGACCGCCCGCCTCCACCTGACACCACACCCCCCAAGCCAAAGCCCACCTACCTGTGCCGTGATGTCCCCAGGCACCACTGTCATGACGGGGGGGTCCAGAGGTATCACACCAGCCAGGTAAACCAGACCGCGATAGCTGGTGGCCTGTGAACAAAGTAGGGCGCAGAGAGGGGCATTCGCGGCAGGGGAAAAAGGCCAAAAATTACAGGAACTTAGGTTCTTTTGTGGGGAAGATGTTGTGTTGATGGAGCGGGGGAGCTCGGGTGCACACGCACACCGACACCAATAACCAATCGAGCACACGTCCAAAACCGCTGTTACGCTCCAACACAACCCAACGGACCTTCCGCCCGTCTCACTCATTCACATACACAACATACACATAGTGCACATATATAAAAGCACTTAAGATTTGACACCCTTCAACAGTACTTACTCCTGCACAGTCCGAAGTGATATAATACGTAGTTCCCGCTCCCTTTGCCCATAACCATTCGGTGCTCTCTATTCTCGGCTGGTACGTCCACGCCTCCGCCCACGTAGACGCGCTCTTCCCCCGTCCAAACGACCCATGCACATACACGCACACCCACAACTCCCCCGCCAACACACAAGACGCATACACGCACACATACCTCCATACCATTCTTCCAAACACCATCACACTATTCATGGTGCACCACATCTTACAGCATGCCATGCTGTAGCCGCCAGCCAGTCCCCCCCAACACACGCACCTGGCTGTAGGGCCCTATGCAGCTGGGGGCCCAGGAGCTGATGCTCTGCACGTGCAGCACCCGCCGCGTGTGGCGGCTGACGCTGACGGGTGACGGGGGAGGTGGAGGGCCCACCCCAACCCCACCGCCGCCACCACCAGGCAGCGGGGACGACCGCAGCGTGCCTGTGGCGGCAGTGTTGGCTGCGGCTATGGCGGGCGGTGCCGCTCCTCTGGCAAGCAGGAACTCGCACATGACGGGGCAGTGCTGGGGCAGACACACCTGCACACATGCGCGCGATGGTGGGTCCCGGCTGGGGAAGTGCCTGCAAGGGGCCGGCGGCAGGAGGCGGGAGGCATCGGGAAGGGGGGGATTGGGGTTTTAAGAAATCGGAACGAGGTAGAAAGAGGTTCCGGATGGGGACAACTGGGAGGAAGAGAAAGGAAGCCGCGCGTCTGTGTGGAATGTCATCGCCCGTATGCGAGCGCGCAACATATTCATGATGTTCATGGCTTATACTCACTTGCAGTAGACCCCGTTAGCCGCCTGGAAGTGCCCCATGTTTGCCAGGAAGAGGTGAACAAAAAGGCAGTGGTGCAAGTCCATGTGCTGAGTGGCCAGTTCTGCACACATAGCACGAGAGGACACGGAGCGTCACAGGGCAAAATGTCAAAAGAGACAGCTGCCGAGGAGGGCGGGGCAATGGGTGAAAAAAGCAAGCACTGGAATTCAGTTCTGTTGAGCCTGGTTTACAGACAGAGGAGAGGGAATCCTTAGGGGCAGAGGCGGGCTGCATTAGGGGGCTGCATTACGGCTGCATTAGCATTCATGTCCTTCCCACCATGCAACTATAAGCCCTTCATTCCTCCCGCTTTCCCATCCACCGCCAGCCCCAGGGCCCCCTTCAAAGCTCCGCTTCCAAGCGTTCGGAGGGCGAGCCCCTCCTTCCCATCCCCAGGCGTCTGGGAATCTCCGTGGGCGCTCCCCCCACCCTGCTCCGCTGCCGCCGCCGCACCCACCTTGCTCCGCCGCCGTCAGTAACGCATGCAGCGCCGCCGTCGTATCGCACTCCGTCAGGTCCGACGGCAAGGCCGACTTTGGCCTCACAGCCCTACACACCAACTGGACATAATCTGGACCGCTGCACATAGAGACATGAACATGGAAACTAGAGGGAGCCACGGGCTGTAGCAGCAGTAGCGGGTCCACAGCGGCAGCCGCCGCCGGGCCGCCTGCAGCGGCCGCTATTGCATTCGCAGCCGATGGCGCTGCCGCGCCGTCGACGGCCGGCGGCAGTGGCGGCGGAGCCAGCGGCGGCAGCTGCGATGCGCTGCAGCGGCTGTACCTCGGCGCCGCCACGTAGTCCCCGGGTACAATCCTCACGTCCGCGGGCAGTTCGCAGCCCTCCCAGCATGGTTTCGTCACAATGTGGAATGACTTGGGAACCAGGTGGCCCACGTCGCTGGTGCCGTGGACAATCTGTGCAGTGCGGCGAGAAACGGAGGGGTTTCCTTGCGGCGATGGGGGAAGGGCAGGGTGATACCCGGGAGGACCGGAAGGGTCTAGAGGGTGCGTTCGGCAGCACCTTCGCAAGGATCATTCCGGAGCGCACGAGGGCACCGCAGTCAATGCTACTTTCCTCCCACCACTCTCGGTCTTTACACGGCTATAAACAGCGACCAGTGGCCTAAGCCACAAATAACCCTCTGGCCATAACCATAACCACAACCACAACGCGCCCGCAGCACCACGTCCTCTCCTTCCTAGCTCACCTTCCCGAGTTCCGACGCCGTGTCCATCCACCTTCCAACCCTCCTCCCGGCCCACACACACCCACATGCACTCCGCTGGCGCTATCGCCGCATTACCCGGTGCCGGCTGGCGGTGGAATGGTGGCTGTTTACCAGCACCGGGCACCTCCCCATCCCTTCCTTCTCCGCTACTGCTGCCGAAGCGGGCGGCCCCCACAACCCGGCCCACCTCAAACTCATCCAGCACAATACTCCCCCGAGTAAATACGGGGCAATCCAGGGTTAGGGTCTCGTACTCGCCGCCCTCGCCACAGACGTTGCAGCCATACGCATCTGCCAGCGACAGCAGTGCGGGCTCCATTGCGGCGATGGTGCGGCCCAGATGCTTCCGGGGGTGCAGCCCCAGACAGGCCACCTGGCACCAGACAATAGCAGGCGGCGGTTCAGGAGAAGAATGAGTGAATTCATTGGGAGAGCAAGTTAAGCTAGTTAAGCGAGGTAGGAGTGGAGGGAGGGAGCTCTGTGCACAATCCGACTGCCACACATAGACACGCCACTGCTGGACTCGAGCAGGGGCGGGGACAGGACGTCATCCGTCCGGCCAATGATAGGGGCGGATGGGACATAGTCACAAGTGCCCAACACGCCTACAAGAACCCCCTAACAACCCCCTACTCCAAATCCTAGTGCGGATATTAATCAGCAGTGCTAATTGATATCAATCTATTAGTAAGGACGGCCCCTCTGAAAAGGAAAGGTCTTCGGCCTTCGGATACTCCCTTGTCCGAAACAGCCCGGAACAGCGGGAAAACCCGTCCCTGGTGGAACCATCCAGAAGATAGACCCATCAGGAGCAATAGCAGCACAGGGACGGCGCTGCCCTAACGCGTTTCCGAATCCGCGGCCAGACCCCCCCACCTTGACCAAGATGGCCTCGACGCCGCTTTCCACCATGCCCCTGCATTCAGCCAGCCAAGCGGGAGCACGGTGGGAAAGCAACAATCTGCGTGACCATGGTATGGATGGACAGGAAGGTAGGTGGGCGGCGACCCCGTGCGACGTGGCACAACACGACACGAAACGACACGGAGCGACATGGAACGGACCGGCGGTTAGGAAATCGCTGCTCGGTAGGCACTCAGGGAACGGGTGCATGTCCTTCGAGGCTTGCTGGCTGTTGTTGTGTATGGACGGGCGGGAATTAGGCACAGCCAGAGGTGTAGCTAAGGTTGGACTGCTGCTCCAATATGCATGCGTCGGGGTGCCAACACGCAGCGAGGCGAAGGGGAAAGTGGGGTGTGCAGGACGCGCAACGGCTATGGGTAGATAGCCACCCTGGTCCCGTAGAGGGGCGAACCTGAGTAACAGACGCTGAGGCTGGTGCCATAGGTACGCCAGAGACACCAGGTTGAGACGGCTGCAGACGTTTTCTACCCGCAGGCGTTGATAGTCGGAAGCGATTGCGCCAGACGCCACAGCTTGAATTCCAGGAACATTTTCTTTGACATATGCAAGCAATTGGTAAAGGTCTTCTACCTCGTCGCCTTCGGTCGGCGTGTAGCCAAGGTCTTGTACACTGCTGGTACCAGAGATGCGCTTTCGGAAAAGCGGTATTCCCATACATGCCGCATATGCTCCGATGAGCTGATGCCCAACCTGTTGGCCAGGCCGGGATGGTTGGGGTGTCGAGCGCGGGCTTTGCAAAGTGCTAGGCGGCCGCAAAAGCACGATCAATCCTAGCTCAAACGCAGCACATAATTAATTATGCATATCAAGGATATATGGGCGCATCCACGCCTGCACTACGCCCTTGGTCAGGTGGCCCACCGTTTGGAAGCAGAACGAGTCCAGCTCGTCAGGAGCCGATTCCTCCGGCAGCAGGTTGGCAAGAGCAACGACGTCATGGCCATGCTGTTTACATAATTGCATAGAGTAGCATGAGTCCTTGCCACCGGATACAAGTGCGACTACGCGCATGGTACAGGGGACTTTTTTCAATCACTCCGAAAGAACAATCAGCTAGCCATAATTTCTGGCATCACCGTCTCGCCAAGAACATTATGATAGGTTGCTTACGCGCTGCGCTGGGCAGGCGCGAAGGTAATTAGTTATTTGGGACGAAATTCGGCAACGCAAAAAGCTATAAGAAAAGAAACTGCAGTAGAAAATAGCCGCTCATTCTACTCCAGTAGGCAGGTAAGATGGATTACTGGCCATAATGTGTATTGCGGCTTCAACGACACAAGGTACCTGATACGGAAACTCAGGCCCTGTATCGGTAAGGTGCGTGTCTTTCCTCAGACATCTGTTTCTTCGTAGAACTCATATGTAGTACTTCGGAAAAGGGTCGACGCTTGGCCAGGACCAAGCTGTCGCAATCTTGAGCTCTGGCCTCTAGCTTTCCTTCCCCAGAGAGATACATCTGACGCGTAAAACGTGCACAACATGGCGAAAGAAGGAAGCCAGGCTGGTGATTCGCAAATGGATACACAGGAGGCCTGGAATGAGAAGGGCCAGACGATTACTGTGTCGGAGGGCAATGGAGCCCTTTACAATCTTACACTTAGGGCAAAGGTATTTACATGCTCCCTTGGAACTCCCTTGGCAAACCCGTGGACCAACCGTCTTCTGCGTTTTTGCTGTCTGCAGATTGATTCAAAACCAACTGACATATATAGAATTCTTATCGACCCAAACACGGTGTCGATATTTCGATCAATCAAGGTGCGGAGCCGCGGCGAGGGTTTTAAAGTTGCACGCTCCGCACGGTGTATTTTAGCAATGCAGCCCCCGGCTAATGTCACTTCTGCCAACGTTCGCAACAGTTATCTGCTTATGAGCGGTTCAACAGGAGATCTTCTTCCTGTCGGCCGCTTCGCGCCATGGAAATGCCATCCCATCCAGACGCCACACACCCGTATTTTCGGGATGGCAGAGACGCGTCTAGCTCCCTAACATCCACCTCAACTTCTGTTTCCCGCCATTTAGCCGCCCGAACCAACAACTTTGCAGTCTGTTCCGCCACGTCTGCCTCAACTCGTAAATGTTCCCCCGTAACTCGAAACCCTGTTCAATCCTGTATATAGTATACCTTTCCCAACCCACCACGAAACCCCAGGAATGCACGTACCGGCGGGTCCTGGAGGATGACGGGAAGGGGCGCCGCAAGCTGGAGGTGGGCCATAGGGCCCTCACGCGCTTCCTCTTCATCAGCGTCACCTTTGTGAGTTCTTGCATGCACCTACCTGGTCTTGATGCGGCTAGGGCCTCATGGACACATGTGTGCGGTACCGACCTGGCACGGCATGTTGCTCGGCTGGGCTGAATTGAGCTGATCTTACCTTGTCTAATCTGGGCTAGAAATGGGTTTGGGATGGGTTGCTGGAACGGACTAAGCCCCGGGACTGGGGTTTTGGGGCTGGGATGGGATGGGCTGGGTCGAAGCGGGAAATTGGAGCTGGCTGGGGTCGATCTGGGTCGGACGGTTGAAGGAGTACCGATGCGAGTACTGATGCACTGATGCGCGCTTGAGAGGGTGTGTGCGGGCGAGAAGGGCCTCTTTGGCGTTCCGTCCTCCAGGAAAGGTGTAGCTGCTGTTAGTAGCGCTTTTGGTGGTGCTGGTGCTGGTGCTGGTGGCCGCATCGATAGTTGTGGTGGGTTGCAGAGGGTGACATGGTTCATAAGCCCGATCAGTTTTCGACGCGTGACTTGGGAAAAAGCGGATATCCTAGGTTACCCAGATAAACCAGGTATATATATGTGTGTGTATATACATACGTTACCTCTAAGCTGTTTAGGCTGCTCCGTGTGGCCCCTCCCTCCCCCCACTCGCAGGAGACCCACTTACATGTGTGGGAGGACGACAATGAGCGAACGGTAGGGGGAAGGGGTCGGAGCGGGAGGCGGCGCTCCGGAACCAGCACCCGCGTCGCCGTGGGTGGGGGGACCCGGACATGGGTAGCGCTGCATGGATGTCATTTTGGACCGCAACCAGAGGGGCCATGAGGTGGTGTTGGAGCTGGGTTGCGTTGTAACGGATGGCCGTGATGGACGGGTCGGGACGGATACACCTGGGGGGAATGTGACGCGCGTTAAGAGGCTGGACGAAGAGGGCATCCTCCGACATGGGCGTGTCTGATGCCTCTTGCCCCTGGGAAGTATACTGACCATGCCATGCATGTGAACTGCTTTGGCCACTGCTGGTCCGGAGCTGCTTGTACACCATGTGAATGTCTGTCCTAATCTTCCGATGGTGAGGGTGGGTGGGGCTGTCGAAGAGGTGGCAGGGTTTGGGCAGCCATGGTATCGCTGTCAGTTTAGTTCTCCTCCCTGCCTCCTAAAGTGGGCTTCTGCGACCCCCTCCCCTCGGCATGCCGTGCGAACCCCCGGTGTCTTGTGGTAAATTGGTAATTTTTTATACAGATCAAGTTTCAAATGGCCCGTCCGAGCATGATGCAAAAGGTATGAGGGAGGCCGTTGAGGAGGGTTGAGGAGGGTTGGAGGAAAGGAAACCTCGAGGGGGAGAGGAAGGGCAAGGTGGGTGGAGAGCCGGCCTTTGGGGAGTCACGGTTGGCCCGGCGGACGGCGGAGCGCGCGTGTCGCCGTGTTTGTGTGTGCTGGACGCTGTGCAGATCCGAGTACGAACGAGTGCGTACGAGTGCGGAACGTTTTCCTTGCTGTTGTGGCTGGCTTCAGCCAACCTGCAGTCTCCTCACCACTTGGTGGACTACCCCCTTCCGGGTATTTCGCTGCTCGCGTACCGTCCCCAAGGTTTCCCTACCCCAGCTGGCTTACTGTCGTGACCTAGTTGCACTCCATTGCCCTTATAATGGAGTCGCGGAGAAATCCCACGGACAGCTGGGATGGGGACGTTCTGCATTACGCCTGCACACTGACATCGCCTGAGACCCCTTTCTTCTTCCTCTCTCCGTTCGATGCGAAATATTTTCCTGCTACCTTCGTCCCCCTTGCTTCATCCGCCAACCCCCCGTTTCCCAATCTCTTTGGACATGGCCTCTGCAGTTTGATGGGTGCTGGCGCATCAAGCCCTTCACCCAAGAAACGCTGGACAGCATCTACCATCCAGAACGGCTGCAGCGTGGGGACCACCATCACAAACAGCAACACCACTTTCACGGCTTCGGGCCTTTCAACGCCGCCGGGCTCCTAGGCTTTCTGCACCACCACCAACATCACTACCACCGTGAGCAGGGGATGATACCACCGACCAACAAGATATCGTGGTGCTGCCCGAGAAAATTAATGTTGTGGGCTCTGTTGATGCCGTGTTTTGAGTTGCTGGGCTGTGGGAATCTGGCGATAGCAGATGTGCGTCCTGTGCATTCCTTGCTGCTGTCCGGATTGCCCTGCTGGCCTCAGCCTGCTCCAGCTGCTGTTTCTGCCGCTTTTGCTTACGACTGTTGTTCAGCAGGAGCCCCGGAGCCGACTGAGTCGCTGGTGACTTTGGAGCAGAGCATCCTCCCTCGCGGCCCGGTGCCCCCGGGTGTCAAGGGGCTGGTGCGAGGGCTGTGTGCCCACCAAATCCGGTGCATGATGGACGACCTGCGGGCGGAGCTGCAGCGGCGGAAAGAAGGTGAGGGCTTGGTGCTGCTGGGTGGGATAGGTGTTGGACATGTGAGGATGTGGACTGGTGGTGTGGTGGATGGGAAAGTGAGGGGGGGGGGCCATCCCTGTGCTTTGTAGTTGCAGGGCCAGGCGGCAACAGCAGCACGGAGGCGAGGGTTTGAGACAGGGGTCTATGCATCTACACCTCTGGAATGGAGATTCACCGGGCTCTTGTGCCTCGTGCTGGACCCTGCCCAGTGTGTAGTGGTTGTATCGTGACGTGCCGTGCCCCGTGTTGTGTCACGACTTGTCATACTTCGTTTCGTGCCATAACCGGTATCGTTGCGTGTTGCGTCTGTGCTCCAGGAACGTCCACGACGACGACGTGCGGGACGATAGGACCGGAAACGCAACTGGCCCCAGCAGCAGCGGGGGCGGAATTTCCGAAGAAGGGCAAGGCCGTGGTGACGTCTGCGGCATCGCTGACCCTTGCACCCCTGTCTCTGTGGTCGAGGGCAGCACCCATAAATATTACCATCCACCTGTGAGCTCTGAGCGGGGCAGTGCAGGGCAGTGGGTCGCCCACAAACTAAGTGCTGATAGCTCCTCTCGCACCTGCCACTGCGTTAGTTGACTAGTCTGCCGAAGTGGCGCCCGCGTGGTCTGCCGGTTTAGCGTCCTCTTGGATAGGGTGGCGTACCGGGCCATGGTCATGTGGTCGGATGCTGACAAGGAAGAGTGGGCCCGACCCGTGAGTGGATTTCCCTAAGCCCCCAAGTGAATGAACCAACGTTTTCTCCGGAGCAGACCGTTTTCGAGGCATGGCCTCGTCGCCGGCCTGCTGCTCTGTTCTTGGACTCGTGCGGAACTGATGCGTGATAGCAATTATATCCATCTCCTCCTCTGCCTCGTGCGCGGAGAGCGAGCGATTTGAGGAGGAAAGGGGAGAGAAAGAGAGATCAGGCAGAGGGGCACGCGTCCAGACCAGGACTGGACGCTTTTCGAGGGGGTGCTTATGTGTGAGTGAGAACGTGTTTTCGGCTGTGTGTCGGTTATTATGAAGGCGGATGGCAGTTGCCTTCAGCGCAGTAGGGTTGAAGGAGAACCTGGCAGCAATATACTCGCAACGCCCATCATCAGGGTGGGACGAGCGTACACATTCCGGCCGTACCTCTACAACGCGCTACCTAGCGCAAGTCAGCTGTCTCCCTGCCGCGACATGTCATGTCTCATGCACAGGTTAGAGGCTTATATGGTATGTCTGTGAATGATACGCGTGGTGGATTTAAAACGGGCTCTCAGTTGTTTGTCTACACCACTGCCGATTGCGGTCCTGGAATCCCGGTGTTGAGCTGGAAAGGAGGGGCTGCGAAATTGAAAATGGAAGGGGAGATGCAAGGAGGACGTAGCCGCCTGCCGCCGCCCTGGCGGTCGCAAGTGGCGGTGGCGGGATGGGTTAGCGGTGGAGATGATGTAATGATTAGTGTGTATGGTCAGAGGGAAAACCCTAAGTTTACGACGGCTACGAAAACCGCCGTAATGAGGCAGACGGATGGTGATGATGCGTGCGGTAATGCCATTATACGGTCTCGTTGTGGAGGACCGACGTAATTGCGAACTTGCAAATCACGAGCGCTTGTCTTCAGCGGGTATAGAAGATGACAATGTCATGATGCGCGTGTGAATGGCTCAGTATCTGGAATAGCTTTTCCTTTGCTTTTTGTAAGCGGTGAAGTAATTCCAGGGACCTCCCCACTGTGCACAGATAGGGGGAGGAGGTGGACCAACCTAACAGGTGCGGCAGTAGCAGAGCAGCAACATTCGGTGTTATCGTCATTTCTTGGGGGTAATCTCGGACCTGGCGGATTGACGGCAGTCGCGCGCGTGCGCAGGCCTGAAGGCCTGACTAAAGGCAGGGGTCTGGGGAGCTTCGAGGGTAACCTATTAAACCCATCAGGGGATGGGTCTGGGCGGAGACAAGGAGGGCTATAGTCGTCATGGAGCAGGACACGGTCAACGGCATATACCGCAATAAAAAAATGCTCGGGGTCCCACAACTTGTATGACCTGTTTATGCTGCAGCCCCTTGTTTCGGGGCATGTTCAGCAGCCTTGCATTCTAACTGCAAACCGATTGTTGAAAACAAGAGAGGGGCTCGGTAGTTGAATATACTCTTCAACAAGGTTGTCCATTGCTCCACTCTGCGCCATGAGGGAGTCCATACAGTGGCAGGAGGAGCGCTTATATCCCCACGTATAGGTACAGCGTGAGGGGGCCACGCGGGACCACGCAGCTATCACGCGAACCCCCACATCAATCAGGACCAGTGTCATCTGGCGCAAGCGGTCCTTAAGACGGGCAAGGCACATCACCCCACCAATCTCTGTGCTCAACGGCTCCTGATGTCCGCATCCAGCCCATGACAACGCATATCTTAAACCCTAATGAAACCGCATCTGTCATTCGTGTACAGTAGGTCCGCGTCTACTATACGACAGCCTGTATGTTTACACCAACACAACATCCTGCAGGCGCTTTCCAGCGCACGTGGGCTCCCACCTGTCGGTGACGTACAGACGCCTCCGGACGCACCCTTCATGAACACAAGGACGAAGCAAACGAAAGCGAAACTAGCCGCGCGTGGCGTCGAATATGATAATAGGACGCCTTAAACGCAGCGAGGTCTAGTCCGGTCATTACCTTCCAAAAATCTGGCCTATTGATCGCCGTGTCCACTTCAGCCACCAGCCTCACAGCCACACGACCGTAACTTCCCCACGGCTATCCGGAGCTTCCCGCCACTCCTGCACGCGACCTTTTGGTACCTGGCGCTTTGCCAGCAGAGACTGAACGGCGTCTCGCACGGCACCCGTACCCATGCCGTGTCTGACAAAGAAGACGCTGCCGGCCGGCGCACTGCGTATGTGGTCGTCGACGTCTGCAGCGGCCAGCTCCGGAACCTGTGGACCGCGGACCGCCGCCAGGCGAGGCAGCGCCAGCAGAAGAGGAAAGCACCGACGCACCGAGCGTAGTCGCACAAAAACTTATGCTCGGAGTGAACTGCACTGGATTTGACCGGATAGTCCGGTTCAATTGATGCATTCATGTACAGGACCTTTCCCCCTTGCTGCTGCGTTCACTCCGCCCTGACACCCAGAGTCATACACACTTACCTCACCAACCACGTCCAGGGTGTTTTCTTCAGTCTGTACCGGCGGCGCCAAACCCTCAGCTTTGCCGTCGCCGCTGCTGCTAGTGCGCTTGCTGCTCCTGGTGTTGAGAGGCTCTGTGGCAGCAACCATGCGTCTACCGTCAGCCGACGGCTTCTTGCCTGACGCACCCCCCTGCGGCAGAGACCGACTGGCCCCGTCATCACCACCGCGACCTGACTTGCCGTACCCGGGGTATCCGTGTCCGCGCATTCCATCTGGGTCTTGATTCTGCTCCTGCTCCTCCCCCTCGTACTGCTCGCGGCCTGCAAGGCTGTCTACCAGGCTGTCCAAATCCGGGTCGTCAATCTGGGCGTCCAGGTCATCCGCCACGTCATCCACATCAAGCGCATCGTACAGGTCACTGTACGACGCGTGCCCCGCCTCCTCCGCCAGCTGCTGCGAGCGGAGTCGGGCGGCAGCTGCGAGCACAGGAATACAGCGCAACCCGGGATGGTGGGGCCCGGGCGGTCAGGAGGACTTGGGGCAGAAACTACTCGGGCTGTTGGATGACACCGTAATAGGGGGCTTGAGAGATACGGTAACGCTGCTCTTGAAGGCAGGCGCTGTCGCCCTTAAAAGACCCTCGACAGGTTTCGCTGTGCATGTGCTGGATGGACGGCCCCGGAGGCAAAGAAACACCAACATGCGCACAACATGCCAGCCCTGCAATCCGGCAACATACAAACAAAACCACCAGCGCCGTGCGTTGCCCTTCCGTCCCTCAACCCCCAAGACCGCATTCCGTCCACCCACCCTCCGCCGCCGCCCTCCGCTCCTCCGCCGACACCTCCCCCAGCACCCTCCTGATGTCAGTGTCCAAATTGGAGTACTCGCTCATCCAGGGACTGGTGCCCAGCAGCGGCCCCACGCTGCCCTGACCCACGCGCTGGACCTGAAGCAGGAGGGCGCAGGGTGGGGCAGGAGGGCGCGTCCCCATGCAGGGGCCAGGGGCCCACAGGCACATGTAATGCGAGGGAAAAAGCAGGGGATGGACTGGCGGTCTTGGCGAGGGGGAAAAGTCACCGCCGCGGGAATCCCTGGGGTTGCTGTTGCACACACGCCAATTGCAGGTAGCCATGGCATGATGCGTTTGAACAGGCTGTGTGAGGTTAGGTTAGGTGAGGTGAGGTGAGGTGAGGTTAGGTGGGGTGAGGTGGTGTCAAGGCGGACCCGAACCCCCAAACCTACATCAACGCACCTCCCGTTTGTGGAACTTCCTGCTGCGGCCCGACCTGGCGCCGGCGCTGAAGGGCAGCGCATCGAAACGAACTGTCACGTAGTCGCCTGCGGGGGGATGAAACCGTTCCCTTTCGAGGATGCTAAAATGATTGATACCAAACCTAATAAAAAGGGTATTTAATAACAAGCTACCTGAATCATTTAAAAACACTTCAAATCCTGTAACCAACCATTAAAATACATTATCTACCAAAATAGTTTATGGAGGCAATATCACGCTTTTATTTTAAAAGTTTCAGTAAATTGTATGTAGGAAAACCTAAGAGGAGGAGGGGGTGGAGGAGGAAAGGTAGGAAAGGGAGAGGAGGAGGAGGAGGAGAGGAAGAGGACGGAAGGCGGAGGTGGTGGAGGAGGAGAGGAGGTGCAGTCGATCAGCCCGTTCGCAATCCATGATGATCCACCAGCTGCTGTCTGTCCCCCAATCCTCCTCCTCCCCTCCACTGGGGGCCCCCTCCCTGCAGCCCACCGCTCACCCTTCACCGACACCACCTTCGCAGACCCCATGTCGCCGTACGGCTTGACGTGCACGGGGTCGCCGGGCCGCAGCGTCGCCCTGTCATCGTACATGTCCTCCTCGTCGCCTCCCCCTGAGTACCCCTGTCCCCGGTACGCGGCGACCTCCTCGGGTATCAGCGCCTCGATGCGACTGTACGGGTTACCGGTGGGGCGTGTGTGTTTCAGTACATGAACGGGGCCGGGGCCAGGTGCGTGCGTGCGTGTGTGTGTGTGTGTGTGTGTTTAAATGGGTTGAGTCGCGAGGCGTAAAGGTTGGAGATGTACGCATGTGGATATATAAGAGAGTGAGGGACGGAGAGAGAGAGAGAGAGAGACAAAGCTAAGGGGGAGTGTGGTGGCCCTGATCTGCCCGTTAACTCAGCACAATCGGACCCCCCCGAGAGAGCGGCCCGGGGCCCTCTCGCCGGCTGCCGTACCTGAGAGCCTCCTCGACTGATGCCTGCAGTGGGCCCGGTTACGAACGCGCCGAAGTCAGTTGGAGTCAGTTACATTCGGTTGCGTTCGTTGGAATCTTTTAACAGAAAACCTGTTAACAAGACTGCAACACACGGCTTCACCAAATAAGAGGAGCGGGCGCACGCGGACATGCAGACATGCATACCCTCCCCGTCTCACGCCTCCGCCCTCGCACCTGTGGCTGCAGCCCCGCTGCGAAGGCATCCAGCGCTGTTTGCACCTCCGCAGCCAAAGTGTCCCGCTCCATGACAATCTGGCAGCAACGGCAAACAGCAGCGATCAGCGGTTAGGTCCTACTATACTAAGGGAACATCGCCGATCGAGGCGATCATGTCAGCAAAGCGAAAGTGTGAAGTGAGATGGGACAAGGAGGCGTACGGAGGCGCGGTTTGATGGGGGAGCGGGGGCGGAAGGGCCCCAGAAGGAATAGAGGGCAGTAGGGAACATGATGGAGCCAGGAGGACAATGTAAAAAAAGGCATCGGTCGGCTGGTGTGTCATTTGCACTCCTCCTACAACACCCCTCCTCCTCCCTGCCCTCCTCCCCCCCACCCCCCAAACAACAACTTCTTCCTCACACAATCACACATTCCTTCTTTCCGACAGCAACCCCCGCACCTAACACACTACATGGACCCCCCTAGGGAAGCCCCCCCCCCCTTCATCGTTTCCCGACCCACCCCCCCCCTCACTTCTCGCGGGGACAACTTGAGTTGTCGCTCCATCTCCCGCACGGCGGACACGGTCTCCTGCAAGGTCAGAGAAGGAGAGGATGAGTTTGGTATTGGTGGTGGTGGGGTGTGTGTGTGTGTGAGGGGGGGGGAAGACGAACCACACACGATGAAGGGGGGGGGGTTGCGATTGTGTGTGTGGGGGGGTGCGTGTGTGTGTGCATGTGAAAGGGGTGCAGGTAAATGTGCCAGTGCGCCGCACACCTCCTCGACGTCAGAGCCCCCCCTCCTCCGCCGCCGCCAAATTTCCGCGGGAACCTGGACAACCGCTTCTGCTCGCCTTTGGCACCGGCACTCTCCGCTTTTCGCGTTGGAAGTTAATCCTTTTCATCAGTATAACGTGCGCATCATGACGAGCTTTCCCCCCACCCCGCCACCCCACGAGCTGCCGAACCGGGTTCGCAGCAGTACCGCCACATAGCTGGTCAAAAGCCGAAAGGAAGTGAAGTGGCACAGAGTCACATCCCCGCCCCGCTAGGGCCACAAGAAGAAGACGAGCAGGTAAATACTTCTCTAGTAGCAGGCAACACAGCGGACACAAGACACAAAGAAGTTACTGTAAAAACTGCCACACAACATTTAAGCGCCGGCCAATGTATCCTTTGCTGAGGCTTGGGATTCCCGCAGTAGGGGATACAGCGCAGATGTTGGGAAGTAATGTCAATCCTGGGAAAACATGTCCGTGGGATCATATTGCATTGCTTCCTGTTGTGTCCTGGATGGCGTGTATCACGGGATCTGACATCCGCCGATCGGTAATTTTTTATTCCGCCGATCGTGGTACAACCCTTTCCTAGAGCATCTTCTCTCCCTGACATCGCCGCCCACCTGCAACCGGCTCTGTGCGGCTTCCAGCCGCTGCCTCAGTGCCCGCTGAGCCTCCAGCTCCTGCCGTGTCTCGTCCAACTGACGTACAAGACTGCGCGCCACCACCGCTATGTGGCTGTCCTGCCCCGATCCAGGCGCTGAAGACGAAGACGAGGACGAGGAGGACGACGAGGAAGAGGAAGAAGAGGCGGCCAGGGCTTCAGCCACGCTGCGTGCCTCCAATACCACTGACCTGCCGGTGTTATGTGTGCGTGGTTACGGAGGGGGATGGATCATGTCCAAGAAGCAAGGTTCTCCCCCCCCCTGCCCCAACTTGCCTGTCAAAGCCCAGCGCCTCCGCGATATCGAGCGCATTCGAGGCCCCGGCTGCCCCCCAGCACAGCCGGTAGGTGGGTCGCAGGCTGGCGGTGTCGAAGGCCATACTCACGTTGACGTACCGCCCGTCCTCCTCCGCCGCGCGCTTCAACTCCGCATGGTGGGTGGTGGCCAGAGTCAGACGAGCCTAGCAGTGCCACAGGTGGGGCGCGAGGTGGGGATTATGGGGCCAGGGCTTAATGCACACTTTCCAAACTCGCGCAATATCAAATCAGCTGTGTTAGCCTTTAGCCAGGCCCTCGCACCCGCTCCCGCATCCCCCCATCACCCTCCCTCCTTCCCTCCCCCACCCCGTTTCCTCGCCTTCCCCCTCCCCCCCCCGCACCTGTCCCGCCAGTCTGTCCAGCACAGCCCGGGCCAGTGCCGCACCCTCCAGCGGGTCGGTACCGCTGCCCACCTCGTCCAGGAGCACCAGGGAGCCGGGGCCTGCGGTTGCGAGAATCTGAGGGGGGAGGAGGGGAGGAGCCGGGAAGAGCCGGGAAAAGGGGGGGACGGGGGGCGAGTAGTAGGCAGCCATATGATGGCGCGCGAAGCAAAGGATATCAACTGTTTGCTGACACCCAATCGGTATGCTGCCAAGAAGCTGCCGGAGTCCAAAACGATGAGCGGGTATAAGGAGGGCGGGCAGATAAGCCGGGGGGGAAGAAGGGATGGCCGCGTGGAGCGGGGATATACACTTGGTGGTGGAGGGGGGGCCCGTTGGACGGTGGGGATGCCGTACCTACCAGGGTTTTCCCTTTCGAAGAGACTTAATATGTCTCACCTCACCTCACCTCACCTCACCTCACCTCACCTCACCTCACCTCACAGCAGAGCAGAGCAGTCCGGACTGCGCTCGGCTTTCCCCTCGGCCATTTCCCTGCCGTCCCCGCTTCGAAGCGCACCCACCCACCCACCCGCCTACACTGGCCTCCACCCGCCGCCCACCCACCCACCCACCCACATACATACAAACATACATCATTCAAACCAACTGCAGGCGGCCCTTCAAACAAATCCATTTCTCCGCCAGTAACCTACAACCTACCCCTCGTATGCGGCGGATGTGGCCGCTGAAGGTAGAGAGGTTTTGTTGCAGACTCTGCGCATCGCCAATGTCCGCAAGCACCCGGTCGAACCACACCAGTCGGGGCCGGGGCGTTAATCCAGATGTGGTGGCCCTAGGGCAGGGAGGTGACCCGTGGGTCGCTGTGGAGATCCCACTGGCGGCTGTGTCTGCAGGTGACGGGTCGGAGGAAGGGTCTGGTTCGGAACAGGGCAGGAAGAGTCCCGCCTGAGCCATGAGAACCATAAGGCCCGCGGCCTTGAGCGTGACTGTCTTCCCGCCTGTGTTTGGGCCTGTGGCGATTGGGGAGTTGGGGAGTTTGGGGACTTGGAGTTTCAGGCATGTCAGGGTGTCAAGTATGGTATAAATCATGACATCATCAATGGATGCAAATGCCAAGGTCCCCAAAGGAAGCTAGGAAGGAGGAAGGAGGGGAAATCCAGCGGCGCAAAACGTAGCGATTCTACAAAAAGTCAAGGCTCAGTGACCCAAAACAGTACACGTTTTCATTCGAAACAAGGCGGGGAGCTTAACAGCGGCGCGGCGCAGCGAGGAGTTCAGCAACGACCCCACAAGCACACACAGTGTGCGCATAAAAAGCATTTCCACCCCAGCCCCCACCTGGCTAGCCTCACTCCACGGACTTGTGCCGCCAAACACCCCCCCACCCCCCACCCCCACCACTACCACACACCTGTAATGGCCACCACAGCCTTTCCAGGAGGCACCCGCAGATCCAGAGGGCGAGGCAGCAGACTGCTACTGCCGCTGACAGTAGCGCTACCGCCATCCGTAACTGCTGTCGTACTGCCGTACTCTGGCAACTCTCCGGACCGCGGCCCATCGGGTACGACAACCCTCCGCAGCTCCCAGGCGGGTGCCGCCTGGAAATCCCGATCGAAGCGGTTGTCGTCCACCTAGGCACAGGTACGGCCAGGGAAGGAGAGAAAGGAAAAACAAACTGACGGCAGGCGAGTCAGAAGTTGTGGTGGCTTTAAGTGGTGTGGTTTTCACGGCTCCCGCGCCCTCCTCCACTGCCCTGCCGCCTACGAGCTAGCTGGGAAGCGGGCAGGTGCGGTTGCGGTAGCGCCATTGTGAGTTCCAACCGCAGTCTCACTCACCCTCATCCGCCCCACACCACGCCGTCCAAGACTTGCTGTTGTTGTTATTATGCGCCGGTTTGAGCCTCCAAAGCTCTGCCGCTTCTACTTGTACTTCCCTCCTCCTTGTGCACAGCTCTTTCCCACCACCACTGAAACCCAATGCGCTGCGCTGCAACACCGCCCTCGGATCCCGCCCAGTTCTCCACCCTTCCCCCCCACTTCCCCATGTCCCTCCCCTCCTTCCCCCTTACCGAAGGTGCTTGCGGCAGGGGTGGTAGGCCCCGCTGCATCAGTAACGGGTGCAGGGCCCCCGGAACATGGAGGGGGGAGGCGCCTGGCCTGGTTGCGGCCAGGTTGTGGGAGGAAGGGGGGGCGCCGGGAAGGACATGGAGATGTTTAGGCACATGAACCTTAGGAACATGGTGGACATGGGTGTGGTGTGGTGGAGTCCGTGGGCAAAAAAAAAAGATAAGGCGCAGCGAGCGGGGGCTCCAAGCAGGTTTGTGTGCCCTGTATGTTTGTCGTTGTTGTTGACGGGGGGGGGCCCCAGGAGTCGGTGGCAACACCAGGGAAGGCGCACGTGGCAGGTTGCCACCGAGAGTGGGAGACGCAGATGGAGGCCATGACGTGTTTCGCGTTTCTTCCCCACCCCCCAATCAACCCTAAACCCTTTGCCCTGCTCCTCCTCTCCTCACCCCCCTTCCCCTCCCTTCCCTCACCCAAACTCCTCAAACTCCGGTCTAGTGGCCCCCATCCAACGGCTGTGTCGCGCCCTGGCCGCCACCAAGTCCAGGGAGGTCACGCTGCCCAGCAGGCTCAGCAACTGGGGAACACGAGTGCCCAACTGGGTGGGAAATGGAAGGGGGGGAACAGAGAGATCGGGAGGGGGGGAAATCACGCGCAAGAAGCAAGGAAGGACCGATTGAAGCGGGGAGGACATAAGGACGGGGAAGTGGGTACAACACACGGAGGGACGGGGATGGGGGGGGGTAGCCGCGGCGGGAGCAGCATGGCCGCATGTGTTGTGAGCATCTGGTTAGCCATCGCCCCCAGAAGTGAGGGTGCGCGACCGGGGTTAGGGTAGGGGAGGCCGTTGAGGAAAGGCCGATAAAGACAGCAGCAAGGGTGCCGTCCAGTGGCATACGTCCACCCGTGCGGCCGCACGAACGGACTCGCACTCGCCCCTTTCCCCCTCCCTTTTCTTCCCTTTACTTCCCTTTTCCCTCCCTCGAGCCCCAGCTCACCATCTTAGACAGCAATCCCAGTACTTTCTGCACCTCCTGCTCCTCCCTCTCCCCCAGCACCGCCTCCATGTTGTTGAGGTCCACGCAGGGCTGCGGCTCCATGTACACGGTGGCCCCACTGCTGGAGCTGCTCAGACGGACACTGCCGCGGGGGAGCTCACCCTGCCGACCAGACTGTGTGAGGTAGCAGGGGAATGTGTATTGCGGAGGTCGGGGGTGGGGTGGGGTGGGGTGGGAAGGTGAGGGTGGTGGGAAATCATACCATGCTGTTGCTGGGTGATGCTAGGTGAGGAAGGCAAGAGGTTCAATTGTTTCAGAACACGAGGACGATGACGATGACGAGGAGTACGTCCCAAGCACCAACCGACACAATTACCACCACCGCCGCCGGAGGAGTCCGACGAGGTCTCAGTAACTGCGTCCCTAGCTCTGGGAAGCACCAGCCCCAAAACTATCAACGCGCTATTGGAGGCCATATGCATATGGGTGGAGGAGGGTGTGTGTCTGCGGGGGGCCCCGTGAAGAGGCGTTGGAAGAGGTAGAGAATGTGAAGAACCTAGCAAGCCGGAAACGGGAGAACAAGAGGCGTAAGAGGGTGCCCGCGGAGGGTGTTTAGGCCCACAACGGCCTTTTAGGACACCCACTATCCCCCACTACAGCCCACCCAAGCCGCAAGACCCGTCAGTTCCGCAGCCCTCACACCTCACCCCACCCCACCCCGACCTCTCCTCCCACCTGCACCACCACCCAACCGGGCCCTCTCCCTCCACCCGCCCCGCCCCACATGCACTCACCCTGACCCCCACACAGAACCGCCCCCTCACGATGGCCACCGCCCCCGCCTCCGCCGCCCCCCGCTGCTGCATGCTCCTGGCCCAGCCCTCCACCTCCTTCCGCAGCCGCTCCTTGTTGGACTGCCGCTCAGCCCGCACTGCTGCAAGGGACTCACTGGCGTCATCACACACGGAGCCGAACTGAGGGGCATGAAGACAGGGAGGCGAGGCGAGGGGAGGGGAGGGGAGGCGGGGAAAGGAGGGGACGTCATGTAATGTGCAAGCAACTAAGGGACAGCTTTCCACACATCCTAAGGAACGGAGGGGGGAGGGAAGGAGGGGAAAGGGCTGCGGCCCGGGGAGGGCATTTGCAAAGGTGCACTGGCGGGGGAGGGCAGGTGTGAAGAGACAGGATTTGCAGGGGTTGGGTTGGGGACGGGGGCGGGTTGCAAAAGGCCCCCTTCAAAGTCGGCGCCGTGGGCTAGAAGGCGACACGTGAGTGAGAACCTGAACCTACCCTACGTGTGCGGCCCTTCCCCTCAATCGGGCACGACACACGGAGGTTGGGACGCACCACGAAAAACTACCACCCCCTTCCCCCTCCCCCAGCAGCTTCACTCGCTCGTGTTTCGTCTTTTCCCCCTTTCCCCGCTGCTTCCCCCTCCCCTCCCTGGCCACTAACCCTCACCTTGATACACGCCCGTATGGCCCTCAGCAGTGTCCGCTCCTCCTCCTCTATGCCCTCAGCCAGGGCAGCCAGGCTAGGGTACCGATAGCGGTGAGGGGGACTCCGAGCCCCAGGTGGAGAAGAGGAAGAGGAAGAGGAGGAGGAAGGAAGAGGATCAGCGCCGCGAGCGTGAGCAGGAGGAGGCGAACCTTGGGTGTGAGAATTGGAAGCAGTTGCTGTTGAAGAGGAGGGGGTGGAAGCTAAAGCTCCTGTAACCCTGTTGCTACTGCTGCTCGTAGTAGTAGTAGTAGTAGTAGTAGCTGTATTTGTAGCAGCAATGCCGCTGGTAATGCTGGTGCTGGGGTTGTTGGTGCAGTCGTCGTGTGGGTCGGTCTCGGGCAGGGACGCTGTGGCGGCTGCTTTCACCGCGAAGGCGGACTCCAGGGTGGACGCCACACCCTGCATACGGCCCACATGCAAATACAGAAAGAGAGAGATGGTGCAGAGGCTCTTGGGAGAAGGAGAGGTGTGTGGGGGGGGAAGAACAGGGAGCGAGGGAGGGGGGAAAAGAGGGAGAGAGAGTAGTTTGCGGGTCTGTCCCTCCGTCATGGGGATATCCGCCTCACCACCTGCTTTGTCCTCACCTCGAGCTGCTTGGCGTTCAGACAAACGCCCGCTGCTGCGGCCTCCACTGCGGGACGAATGTCAAAACAGTCCCGCACCCTGAGGGCCCAGAAGAGTATAAGCAAGGGATAGGGAGATAGAGGGCGAGGTGGGGAGAGAGAAGGAGAGAAGAGACATCACGGCCGAGAAATATGGGAGAGGCAGGGTCAGGGCCGACAAGGAGATTAGAGGTCGAGAGAGAGAGACTAACCGTCGGGGGCCCCTGTGGTATGGTAGGGTGTGTGCGTGTGTATGTATGTGTGTGGCTGCTATCATGCGCTACCCACCATCGTCTGCATAAGCCCACATAGCAGCCGGTGAGCACAACAGCACAACAAGGGGTCAGGTGGGCCTTGCCCCCCTGACGATCGCTGCCATCTGGAGCCATGAAAAGAAGATGTGAAGGATACGTATACAGCTTCTTACGAAACGTGAAAGAGTACAGAAAGCGGGAAAGGGTATGTGGGCCTCAGCGCGCACGTGACCCAGATGCGATGCGGTCATATACACCACAGGCAGGGCGTCCTTCCTCAAAAAGCCTCACACGGTTTCACAGAGATAGGTGAGCTGTTTTGCTTTTTCTCTAGGAATGTAAACAGGAACTGGTTCTATCCTAGAGCAGTAAGCACCAGCGCTCTCCGACGTGGGTGTCTGTCAAAAGTGAGAAGGGAGCCACGTACTCGATATTGGCCTCCAAGGCCTCCGCTGTCTGCTGCAGCAGCAGCTCGCTCTCCTCCCGGCTGCGACCTCGGGGAAGTTGGCCACGGGCTGCCAGCTCTGCGGCGACGCTGGTGCCGCAGAAGCATGCGACCTACGCGGCTCGGGAAAAGAAGGGGGAACCGCGTAGAGCGGGGGGTTCAAGCCCTAGCGCACAGAGGCTCTGGACCCTGTAACTTTTCAGGTGATGTTTACTTGTCTACCTGTTTGCAAATTGCTGGCCATTCAAGGATTTGCAGCGATTCCGCTTCGACGCTTTTTGCCAAACCATCATCCAAGTCGCTGTCAACCGGATCATAACGTTGTATGTTTATTGGCAACGTACTACTTGCAGGTAAAGCTCGTAGTTGAATCCGCGGAAATGATGAACAGCAACCGTCCGTCGTCGTGTGGTTGGTAAGTCTCTGAACGCATGGCGAGAGGTAGCGTCGCTGATACATACATGGCCCTATAAATCTTATAGGCCAATTGATAATGCCATTGCATCCCTGGCCGCTGCGAAGTCCCGACGCAGGGCAAGATGGCCCCACAAAAATGTGAGTCATATTGGGCATATCTCACAAATTCAGGCACATATCACTTCAGATCACTGCGTAATAAGCAGCTGTCACAACCCAGGGAGCAACGTTAGGGAAATCTGCCACAGCCCATGGCTATTACGAAGACACTGCACCATAGTTATAACGATATCAAGGGGGGCCAGAGCCTACTGCAACAATTTCATGTGACACACCAATAAAATTAATATGTTGACCTGACAACAATAGGCAGAAGAGATTAAAGCAATCAGTATCAAGTCGACTGCCCCAACAGCCAACCCGGATAGATCCAGCTGCCGTACAGGCATTCTAACGGCTGGCTTATTCGCACGCAAAGCTGACTTGGGAAGAGTGTTGTAAAAGCGAGCTTTACGTGGACGTGAACCAGCCGCTCCCTAAGCCACCTGTTGTGGCAATAAGCTATAATCGCTAATGCAGCCAGATCAACCAAAAAGGGCGTTCCTGGCAAGCACTATCCATCAAGCGCTTCAGCACGCAGCATGCCTGAGGATTTGCAGGTCAGACATATTTATTGCTATTACGGCGCTCATGAATGACTTCTGCAGTTGAACAGAGCAGTCCGCCGAAGTGCTTGGTGCATTTTCAAAGACAGGTGTGGCCTCAGCCGTGAGTTCCACCATTCACCGCAAGGGACATCGCGGTCACACCTTTAGGATGCATAATTTACACCTAACGCGGCGAGGAAGTATGCAACCCGACACTTGTAAATGTACAAACACACGTACCTCTATGGAACAGGTACGATGTCGGGAAGAAAAAGGATAAATAGATTGGAAGGGAGCCGTTACAAGTTTTTACAAGTTTACGAGTTCCGCACAAATGCGAGGTTGTCCATTAAGGCGCGGGGACCATGGACTGCGCAGAACCAAGTACATCCCTCACCTACTACTCACCCAAAGAACCTCGATAGCAGTCCCTCTATCCCACCCTCCCCCTCCCCACACACAAAACACACCCATCCTTTCCCAACAAGGCGGAACCTTCTCCCCCTCACACACATACACATACCCAACCATCGGTTGTCAACTGAACCACGAAAGGGGTTTCGGCTGGCTCCAGGTGCTACAGGAGGCTGCCGCGCATCCACAGCCTGCCCTCTCTCCCCGCCCTAAACGTCACTCCGTAGTTCATGCCTTGCCGCCAATCACGATAACGCCCGCAACGGCCAGGCAGGCAAGGATAAGGCCCACCACAGCTGGGTTTATCTTGTCGGCGGGGGCCCCGGCGGGTCGGTGAGGCAGCACGGACTCCTCCGCGGGGTACACCCAGGCTAGCCAGTCCCACACCGCCCACGTCACCACCACGGCCAGCAGCATGTCCTGAGACCGCGACCGCGGACCAACCACCGTTCCAGCCATCAGTCGCCGCATCAAGGGAGGGGAGGTGGAGAGCCGGCCGCAAACAGGAGCCACCGACGTGGGCCCCCACGAGCCCTCGTCAATGTGGGGCCCATCCGCAGCATGGGTTGTGTTGACGTGTCCGGTGGGGTGGGGGAGGGGACTTGAGCGGTGGAGATGTGTGTGTGTACGTGTGTTTCGGGAGGGAGGGCGGCCAATCGTGGGCTCCAGCGTGTTGGGTGCTGGGGGGGGGTTGTGTGTGTGTGTGTGTGCTGGGGGGGACTTGGTGAGTCGGGTTGACTTGATGCACCCGGGGCAACCCCGCTGAGCCTGATGCCATATTGCCCGATGATGTCGATTTGCCATTCTTGTAAACTGGGAGAAGTGAGCCGACCCAGCCGGAATGCCGCCAGGATGCCGAAAAGCCAAAAAATCAACAGCAAAAGTAGCAAGCGCGTTCGTGTGAATGACGTGTGGATATATGGACAAATATTTCATCCATATCTGCACTACCTGTGAACATACATACATACGTGCGTACGTAGCCATGCACGCGGAGCATACATGTCGCTCTGCCTAAAAGCCAAGTAAGCTGGTATGGAAAGAGCTAAGGCCCCAAAAGAAGTCCTTTAATACTCCTCCTCACCCAGCTTGAGTACGTGTGCCCCTCTATCTCTCTCCCCTCTCCATCCTCTCCATCTCGAACCCGCAACCCCGGCCCCGAGCCACCCACTCACCACACTGTAGTGCTGCTCATCCACCACATCCTTCACGCAAGCTTGTGCCAGCGCCAGCCACAGCACCCAAACACACACACGACGGCCAGGGTAGTACGTGCGGAAGGCCAGGGGCGCCAGCACCCAGAAGGCGCCGTGGCCGCTACATACATACATTCATGTATGAATATGTAAACGTATACACCACGGGGGAGGGGGGCCATCACCCGGGCACACTACAAGCATTACAAAAGCATCACACTGTGCAAAGGCAACATGCCAAGAGAAAGCGGGTCCGTTTTTTTACCGTTTGATTGGACTTTCAGAGGGCTTATGGTGGAATTTTGTGTGTGGAGGGGTTGGGGGGACGTGTTTGTGTGTGTGTGTGTGGGGGGGAAAGGATGGCGGAAGGAAAGCTCCTCCCGGCATCATCACGGGTTAATCGGTTCAGCCACCACCACCAACACACCGCCGTGTGCGCCGTGCGGGCGATGGAACTTGTGTGTATTGCAGGAGGCCCCTAAGGACAGCTCGTTGAGTGTACAATAAATCCCCAATTTTTCCTGCCTTCTAGTTCCCATGTCCGTACATCCGTACGTACGGACATCGTACCTAAAAATCAGGTCGTTGCAGCCACCAAAACCTCGGATGGTTGTATAGCCCAGCTTGATTGTGTCCCATAAGCCTTCCGGTACGGGCGGGAATCTCCGCCGATAGCAGCCCGGCCGCGGGTTAGGCAGCACGGTGCTTAGGAAGCAGGCCATGCGCAACACGCGGCTCGCGGCGACCGTCAGCACGACGCGTGACATGATTCCAAATCCAGAGTACGGCACCTGATTCCACAGTACGGAAAATGCCAGCATCAGCAATGCGGCCAGGAAATGTAAAATGTTGGCTGCCCTCGCCGCCGCCAGCCAGCGGACCGCGGGGCTGAGGGCAGAGAGTGCTCGAACGGAAATCGCGACGTTGTCCTGCAGCCCCGGGACATTGTCGTACTTGCGCTGGTCCCAGGCTGACACAAGCCTTGCAGACCCAATGTGGGGGTTGCGGGGGGGTTGGGGCGGGATGGGCCAACATTAGCGGTCCCGGGTGCTTTTAGCGGGTTTGGGGGTTTAGACAGCCCTAAGGGCTGTAAGGGAGCTTTACGGGACGGAAAATCCCTTCATTCATCCATCCATTTATTTATTCATTCATTCAGATATCCGGCGGAAGATGGCGGGGGGAAACATGAGGTGGTGGAAAGGGGCCGCGAAGACGACATGGAAGGGGTTATAGACCTGTTTGTAAGGGCAGTTTACATTCCGCACATCAGCAATGCGACGGATGTAGCCGTTACGCTGAAGCCGGATTTGGATTATTTTGTGGCTGTGCCTGGATGCCTGGATGTTGTTGGCGTGTGAGGGGCAGAGGGAACCATGCAACGGGATTAGCGGAAACACTAACCGCAAGTAGCCAGCCAGCCACTACCACCCGCACCACCCGCAGGCCCCGGCCCACCACACGACGCCATTCTCCACGCTGAGCTCCAGAACCATGACCACGAAGCACAGGATGAAGCGGGGCACGTGCATGTGCTCGTCCCGCCAGCGCCGAAAGATCAGGATGCGGCGGGCCAGCAGCAGCGCACCTGAGGCGGAGCGGTCGTGGGGGTGATGTTGAATGTTAGTGGTGGTGGTGTTGTATGTGGTGGTGAGCATTCCCGGGGGCGGGTTTGCGGGCATTAACAAGAGAGAACACGGCGCTGGGAAGGAGCGACTTCGGAAGACAAGGCCTACACCGGGAAGGGTGTTTATTAAACCGTTGTATGTCTGTATGTCTGTCTGTACGTACGTACGTACTTCTGCTTACCGAGAATGGCGGCCGCTTTCATAGGGCTGCCGGGCACGGCCCCCAGGCCCCTCATCCCTGGCAACAGCATCGCCAGTGCTGGCTGTAGCAGGAAAATGGCTGTAGCGGCCACGTCCAGCCCGTTCCCGCAGCGCGCAGCGACACGCCTGTGGCAGTGATAGGGAGCGGCGGCGGGCGCAGCAGCAGTAGCAGCAGTAGCAGCAAGGATAATGACGGGAACTGTAACAGCCACAGCAGCACAAGCAGTGGCGGTATCTTCATTTCGGGGGACGACACACCCGCATGGGCAGTACAGCGGTGCAAGGTCGTTTACCTAGAACGTACGGCAACACGGGATGTCCGCGGCATTGGTGGGAATCGTCACGTGCATTGCCCAAGAAATACTTTTGGGTCCAGGTTCCAAAGCCCTGGGGACATACAAAGCCCACATACACAGGCACGCAAACACAAGCGTACGGCATATGTACGGCATTGTTACAGCATTCATTCACTCCCGTAGTGAGGGCCGCTAGAGCTGCTGTCCCGACCTACTGCCGCAGGGAGTAATGCTTGCTGCCTTTTCTAGAGCCTGGTCCGCAACCATTGCCTTCGCCTCCGCCTCCGTTGCTGCTGGCGTTGCCGATGGAGAAGTCCGCCCCGCCAGGATCAGTGGCGAATACGACGGCGGTCCCCCCCGCTAGCCGCCGGCGAACACCACGGCCATCGTTAATCGCGATGAGGTCGGCCGGAGTTATGACGACTTGCCGTCCGCCGTCTACCGCAGCCATTTCCGGATTTTCGGATCGCATCGATCTCTCTACCCTGGGCTTTGGTCTTTTTGGTTGCCTGTTGCAGTTACAGAGCAAGCGGGTTTACGACCTCTGCTGCAGATATGCTTGAGGGCAGTTTTACTGCAGCTCGATCATTCGCTTTTAAGGAATAGGCTCTGGCGAGGAAACAGGAATGTCCCTAGTAGTGGGAACGACTCATTGCTAACGTATTGCTGTTCTAGGCGACCTGCTTGACGATGTGGCAGACACAAAGGGATTTGAAACCGGCAAAGCATGGATGTGGGGACGCAACGGCTAACAGCAGATATGCTAATATGGCCATAGAAATCATGTCGTTAACATCACATAATTGCAATGACGGTTGGGGCAACTTAACCTGGCATGTTGTTGTATGTATGCGGAATAATTTACGTGTCATACAATTTATAAGCTTGTATTGGTTTGATCTTAAAGAAGATCAATCTGTGGTAATCCTGGAAAGCGCACGGAACGGGGCGCCGCACTGCGCTTGCAGCGCGCCAAACTACAAGCACTATAATTCATCGGCAAATCAGATTCTTTGAATCCTCAATAAAGGGGATAACTTAAATTTTCACAGTTATCCGGCGTATCAGCAAACTGAATGTAGTACTTAACATCTTCGCGCACGCAGTCCCCGTACCATTTGAACAAAGCGATATTCTGAACTCAGCCGAGGATGTCGTGGAAGTTGGGAGTGGCAGGGGCCCCCGGAATCATATGTGTACTTCCGACAAACTCACGGCCGTGTCGGTTCCGTACTTGACGCTCTGAACTCTAGCCGAACTTGTCACGACATTTTATAGAATTTCCTCCATAGCCTGTAATAACCGTCAATTATTATGTGAACATTCGTTAAGGCAAGGCGTGAAGTAAGACCCAGCCTCATTTACAAACCGCCGATAAAAATAAACCACATCCTTGGTCATCGAGCCCTGCATATTTTAGGACGATTGCATCAAAGATGGCGGAGCAGGGCTCGATGACCAAGGAGTCTAGCACCGACTTGCTTCGGCTGGCCGAACAGTTGGATACGCTGGAGCCAGTCTCAGTTGCACGCGCACTTCATACCATGCACATGAACGCCCTGCCAGCTACTGTGCAGCAGGCGGTGCAGCTAAGAAGTAACAACACAGTGTCGACGCTTGTCGTCCTTCTCGAGCCGTCCTACGATGTCTCTCTGAGGAGCCACGCAATGCATGTTATAGCTCGTATGTGCAGGCTTGATCGCATGGTACGCGATTTATTGTCTAAGACCTTGGGGTGGGTTCCACAGTTTGACAAATTACCTGTGACGGGCGGCCTTCGCGGTTATTTGGCACAACGAGTTTGTTGTGGCAAGCTCTTCTGCTTCCCATCAAGTTTTAGACCTACGGATTATAGCATGGCGGTTGAAAAACAGAACCGTCAGGCATGGCTTGCGAACTCACCTCTCCGGGCACCTACGACTACGGTCCTAGGGGATGAACCTCTTTTCCTCCTTGGCTTTTTCCTCCAGCTCAACCCGCTAAAACTCGCCCCTAGCAGTCCCGTGCCCGGTCGTTTCAGTACTGCTACCCGCGATCCCTGCCACCCAAACGTAACAGAGCCAGGACAGCTTCATCAATCACGGAATTGTCCGGAAGCTCATCAAAAATGCCGACACGACTCAGGGCGCCGACGTGGACGCGCCAGCGGCCATACGAGCCCTGGCACGATTGGCTGGCGGCGAAGCGCCCGGACCTTCCCAGACCGCGGTGGTCGAGGTAAGGCAGCCAAGCCGTTTGGCTGCTGATAAGCCCTGCTAATTGCCTTACCTTCAGCACTTTAGTCGGACGTGCAAATACATCTTTACACATATACATACAGACAGGCATGCGCCGTCATTGCCGCCGCCGCAACACGTGCGCGTGGACTCCACAGGCGATGGGGATGGAGTCCGCAAGCCAACGCCGACGGCAAGCTAGCCTCAAACAGGCATCATCACGGCCGTCCGATCCTTGCATGCACCTTGACCTTTCTCACCTTGCCATGTTGCTGTTAACGTTCAGTGACTCGTTCCGGCCCTGTGTTGTATTGCCCTGTATTGCCCTCAGGATGTGTTTCTGAGCGGGCTGATGACTCGGATGCGTGGGGATCTATACGCCCGCCGCAACAGACTCAATGACCCGCTGGTGGCCGCCATCGGCGACTTCCTGGCGACAGTCGCCGTCTGCCCAGCGCATCACTACGGCCTCCGCGAAGCCTCATTGCTGCTACCCAGCCTACTGGAATCTGCAGCCGCCGCCACTGCGGCAGCCGCCGGCGACTCCGCTGCAGCGGCGGCTGCTGCTGCTGCCGGCGCTTCCTTTCTGGATGTCGTGTACCGCATGTCGACGTCAGACGCATTGGCGCCGTCACTGCGTACGGAGTCGTACTATGAGCCGCTGGCGAATCTGTTATCGGCGGCGCCTGCCATGTCGACGTTGCGGCGCACGGCATTGCTGACGCTGTGCAACGTGTTTGGTGCCGACGGGGATAATGTACGGGCGGAGGAGGTTCTGAAGGTGAACGGGGCGCCTCCGCTGCTGACGACGCTGCTAGCAGCGGCGCTCGGCCCTGGCGACGTGGGTGCAGCAGCGCGTGCGACGGGGACGGCGCCAGCCGTACCCGTCGGTACCGCTGCCGGCAGCAGCTTGCAGCGGCGCAGCGGCGGCGCCAACGGCAGCGGAAGTGCAGCGACGGCGACTCGCGGCGTGCGTGTCTCAGACGGTGGCGTCCTGGCCCGGGGCGCGGGGGTGCTGATCAACGGCGCTTCCAACATCGCCACTGCCCACGACGCCGCCGGTATCGCCGCCGCCACGGCGGCGCAGCAGCGTCACCATGACACTGCCGCAGCCGGCTGGCAAGTACGGACGCTGCCTGAGGCCGCCCTCTCACCCGCCACCGGCCGCAGCGGCCACGGGAGTACGGGTAACGGCTACGCGCTGTCCAGCATCACAGTATCCGGGTTCATCGGAACCAGTGACACCGCCGCCGCTGCCGGCGGCGGGGGCGGCGGTGTCGGCAGCCGCCGGGCAACACGGCCGTCTTCGGACGGCGGCTCTGAGGCGGCGGCAGCTCCGGTTCCCTTGGAGGAGGTCCTCCACACCCTCAAGTGCCTGGCCGCGAACCCCATGCTGGCGCGCAAGCTCGCTAAGCCTGGGTCGCCCGGGTACGTGTTGCCGTCGTTGCTGGACGCGGTCGTTTCATCTCTCCACCACGCCGCCGCCGGCCGCATCTCCCGTACTGCGTGGGCGGCTCGCGCCTCCGCCGGCGTACAGACGGTGCTTCGGCTGGCGTCGTGCGCGGAGCTGGTGCCGGCGCTGCGCGCCGCTGGGGCGGCGGCGGTGTTGCGTTTATTGGCGGCGGAGGCAGATGACCCGCGGGTCGGTGAGGCCGCGTGTGTGGCGCTGCTGTATATGGGAGATACAGGCTTGGTGGGGTATACTAGCCGGCCTGCGGTGGCGGCATTTCGGGCATTGTACCGCAACGGTACGGCAGGAGCTGGGGCTGAGGCAGAGCATGGTTCCCGGTAAGCGTGGTGGGCGCTAATGCTGATTGTTTTGTCGCTCCTTCATTGTTCTTGCTGCATAATGACAGCATCACCGTCATCCTGCTTTCTTCCCGCCCGCCAGCCTTCCGTCGGGATTCCCTTAAAAGTACGTCCAAGTGCCCACACTAACAACCAAACTAACAACCAAACTAAGAACCAATAATGAAAAAGCAACCCCCCTCCCCACACGCACGAAGAACCACCACGTCACCCCCATCACCCATCAAGGGTTAGAGGTGGTTAGAGCTGCAACCACTTCTCCCTTCCCCTCCCCCGCCAAAACAGGTTCCAAGTGTTCGTGAGCCACCACCGGGCAGATGCGCACCAGTTTGCCTTGTTCACCGTGTACCCCATGCTGGTGCTTCAGGGGGTGCCGGCCTTTATAGACCCGCAACACAGGTACATACGGGGGGCCCGGAAAGGCTGGTTAAGGCAGGCGCCACACTGCTCCCTACTGCACGTCTATGTGCTGTGTGCGTCTGTCCGTGTGTCTGTCCTGGCTGCGTGTGCGCGGTGTGTGTATGAGTATGGACCTGCATGTTCTGCCTTCCTTATATCCGCTAGCTGCGGCACCTGCTTCATCCGTTCCCCTCCTCGTCCTTTCTCGTCGCATCCCGCTCTACCCCTCCCCCTCCTCCGCTTCCACCTCCCCCTCCTCCTTGGAGCACAGGACTGCATCCAGCGATTGGTCTCACGTGATTGCCGGCTGCAAGAACTTGCTGGTGGTGCTGAGCGAGATGCTGCTGGCCAGTCCTGACCACGTGCGGGAGGTGCAGGCGGCGGTGGCGGCGGGGGTGAATGTGGTGGCAGTGATGCCGGAGGGGATGATGTGGAGCGACTCACAGGGGTACAAGGTGGGGACGAGGGCAGGGAGGGGAGGAGGGGACGGTCATTGTGTTGTGTGATGATGTGCCCCAGTACCCTCAGGTTGCGTGATTCTCGTTTTATGTCGAGCAATCTGTCCGCCTCATCTAACCGCTCATCATTTCCCGCACCTTGCTTTCACCCCAACCCCACATACATACATATTTACTACACCGCCCTTCGTACAGTTTTTTGACTCGCCGCCGCCCGCGGTGCTGCTGGCTCTCCCCGCCTGCCTCCGCGGCCTCGTCACGGAGGACGTCCTCATGTACTCGGCGGCACGGCACGGGGAGTTCACGCAGCTCCTCATGACGAGGCTGCAGCTGCCAGCGGCGCCACCGCCACCGCCAGCGACGGCAGCGGCAGCGGCAGCGGCAGCAGACGCGGTCTCAGTGGAGGTAATGGCGGCGGCGTCGCCGTCGACGTCGCCAGGCCGAGGGGCTACGCACCTCCGCAACGGCGGCAGCAGCGGCTGTGGTGACACAGGCGACGGCAGCATTGTACGGCAGGGCAGCGGCGGCGTCACCGGACGGGATTACTCATCGCGTGGGCCGTCCAGGGGCCGGGCCCGGTGTACGACAGGCCGCGGGGTCGACATGCATGGGGGGGATGAGCAGGTGAGTTGAGTGAGTGAGGGTGTACATTGTGTGCAGACATACATACAGGCGGCTGGCAGAGGTTAAGGCCTGACTTCTGCTCCCGGAGTGTCCGGGTTCAAATCCGCCTGCCGACTCCTCAGGTGTTTGAGGAGTGTTGAAATGGGAGGTGGCCCCCCATCTTATGGACGGTGTAGGACGTGATAATATCAACTTGCGAGCTGACCAGGAACTAAGTTGAGGCGCCGTTGATCCGCTAGATTTGGTTGGATGCTGGTGGTGAGTTGCTGAACCCAACGAATACATTCTGAAGTCGGATGGGGTGAATGGATTAGGGTGCCCCTCTCTCAGGGGAGAGCAGGGAACTGCCTCGGGAAAGGGGGCCGCTGGTGAAGCTTAACCACCCTGTAACAACATACATACAAACAGCATTACATCGTAGAGCTGGGGAGAGTCTGTGTGGTGTGGTGTGGTGTGGTGGGGGCTCCGAGTTCCCACGCCTGGTGTATAGCCATGACCCGCAACCTTGTGTGCGCTATGCCCTTCCCAGTCACCGCCGTGTTTCGCCGCTAGTGCAGCATGCCCCCATCCTCCCATCCCCCTGCCCCGGCCATCGGTGCTTTGAACGTCGCGGCTGATGTACCTTTGGCACCTTTACCTCATCGCCATTATCATGTAATTCACCTTTCCCCCTCACCCGCCCTGCTGCGGTCCGTACGCAGCCGCCGCACCGAGTCTCCTTCAGCGGCGTCGGCGATGCCTTCCAGCGGCTGCAGCACCAGCAGGACGAAGAGGAGCGCGCTGAGATGGCGGCGGCGGGGACGGCGGAAGCTTCGACGGCGACGGGCGGGGGAGCCCAGGGGACGCAGCAACAGCAACCGCCGCCGCCGTCGGCGGCGGCGGCGGCCCCATCGGAGTTCCTTCCCTGGCCGTGGTGCCGTTTGCTCGACGGTGCCGCCGGCGCCGCCGGTTCGGACGAAGAAGACGAGCTCGTAAGGTACCCCCGTACATGGTACGGCGGTGGGTACGGCACCGGGACGGCTAGACTGGGTGCGAGCCTCGGCGGTGCGGACTCGGCGTCCGGTTCTGCAGTACGGGAGAGCGCCGCGGCCATGACGCAGCACGCGGCGGCGCCGCCGGCGTCGGGCGCACCTGTGTCGTGCACGTCCCGCCGGCTCACGGCGCGACAGCGGTCTTCCATAAACCGTCACGCGGCGCTGCAGCTGCAGCAGCAGCAACAACAGGCTTTGCTACAGCATCAGTGGATACAGGAGTACCAGCATCAAGCAGCGCGTCTCCCGCAGCAGCAGCAGCGGCCTCAGACGAGCCTCCTGGGCAGTGCGGGGTCGGACATATCATCGGTGGCACCGGCGGCAGCGGCCGCGGGCGGCGGATCACCTCCACACGGGTCGGGATCGGTCGGCGGGGCGGACGACGGCAACCTGCCTCTGTCAGCGCTGGTACGTGGTGGTGGTGGGGGTGGGGGTTGCGATGGTGGGGGTGGGGGTTGCGATGGTGGGGGTGGGGGTTGCGATGGTGGTGGTGAGGGTTGCGATGGTGGGGGTTGCGATGGTGGTGGTGGTGGGGGGGGGGGTGACAGCGACCTGGGGATGGGCTCTGTGTCACACTGCCTGTGGTGGTGTGTGGTGTGTGCTGCTGGTGTTGGTGATAAGCTCCCGAGCTCCGTGGTTCATCGTCCTCTGGGGTTTCCTACCGTACAGTTCGGCCTGCAGTCGGCTTTTGTTCGTTAAATAATGGATGGTTCTGGTTCGCTGTACTGCAGTGTACGGCAGTCTCGGGTAGGGGCCTTGCGAGGGCTTGAGGTAGTGGGAGGGAGGGAGAGTCTTCCGGTCATTGATTTGATTACATCCCTGAACTGACCTGCTCTGCACTTGTACGGCGCGGCCGTACGACATCCACCCACAGAGCCAGCTCCTGGCGCTGCAGCTGGAAATGGTGCGGTACGAGCTACGGCAAGCCGTACAAGCGGTACGTGTCTTCTGCAAAGAGTGCAGTACGGTAGTGTGCTTTTCAGGGGGACGTTGAGCTGCTTGCTGACTGAAGAGCACATATCGTGGGATATGGCTAGCCGTACATATTGTACGGCATGTGCCTTCTCTCGCTCTTTTCTCTTTTCCTTCCAGAGATTCCTCCCCTCCTGTTCAGACATCTCGGTGACTTGTTCATTTACCGTACACCCGCTCTTGCCGCCGCCGCAACTTCTGCCATTGCTCTCTTTTCTCTCTCTTTTGGACATACATACATACCACCGCAGTCACATGAAAATATCGCCTACAAGATCGATCGGCTTCGGAGCGATTTCACCGAGCAAGTCGTGCAGCTGCGTTTTGATCTGGCCGGGAAAATCGAGGCGCTACAGGAGGCGATGGCCTCAGCAGCCACCGTCAGCGGCCGAAACGGCAGCGGCGGCGGGGCTTCTTCGCCGCAGGACTCTGTGAATGCCGGCGCCAGCAGCGGCAGCGGCAACGGCAGCAGCGGCGCCGGATCGAACCGCGAGCCGAGTACTTCGCCGTCTCCCTCCCAACAACAACAACAGCAGCAGCAGCATCTGGCGGCAGCGCTGTCAAGCACTATAGCCGCAAGTTTGCAGGACGCCGTGAACCGCGCAGTGGCGCAGCTGCAGGCGACGGTGGCGGCGGCGGCGGGTATTACAGCGAAGCCAGCGCCAGCGCCGACGGTCATCCCCACCGTTGCCGTGGGCCACTTAGGCGCCGCTGGCGGCGGCGGTGTGGGGCCTGGGGCCGCTGTTCCGAAAGGGGCCCCCGGCGCGGCGGCCCTGCTGGCGGCGGCACACCAGCAACAACAACAGTCGCCACATCTAACCGGGCATCATCACCCACATCACAGTCCGCAACCCCCAACACAGCCAGTTCACAACCCGCGGGCTGGCGGCGGCGGTGGCGGTGGCGGTGGAGGCGGCGGTGGCGGTGGCGGCGGGCCCGCTATCACCGTAATGACGCCACAGACGCCGCATCAGCCACAAGGAATGGAGTTCATGTCCCCGGTGGCGCGCGCCGGAGCCGCCGCATGGTCGGGCGACGGCACCGGCACCGGTCCGGCAGGACACGGCCCCGGGCATGGTGGTAGCGCCAAGTCCCGCACCAGTCACCCCGGCATGGCGGCTGGGGTGGACAGAGGTGGAGGAAAAGGCGGCGGCGCAGGCGCCGCCGCCGCCGCGGCGACGCGGCCGGGGCCCTTGGCCTTGTTCGATGCAGCGGCGGCGGAGGACGAGGCTGGCGGCGGAGGCGGCGGTCTGGGCGGCGGCCGCGTGATGTCCCCCACGGCGCTCCTCGCCACCGTCAACAGCCCTTCTACAGCCCAAGCTGCGCTGTTGGCGGCGGTGGCAGGACGTGCACGAATCACCCCGATGGCAGGGGTGTCCCAGGCTGCTGCCGCTGGTGGCGGCGGTGGTACGGCCTGTATCGGTGCACCGTCACAGAAGGACCGCAGCAGCACCGCCAACGGCACCGCTGGCGGCGGCGGCGGCAGCGGCAAGGGCACGCTGCCGCCGCTGGCAGGTTTGATGTCGTCCTTCTCTCCAGCCTCCGCAGCGAAGCTTGTGGAGCGTACGGAAGCGCAGCCAGTGCGCAAGGCCCAGCAACAGCAACTTCTGATGCAACAGCAGCAGCAACAACAACAGATATTGCTACAGCACCAGCAGGCGGCTTACCATCAATATGCATAGTTCATGCCCGGTCGCACCCGGCGCCCGCTCTGTCTCGTCCCTCTTTCATACTATCGAGTACGGCTGTTGTTTTATGGCGGAGTGCACCCTCGTGTGTGTGTGTATGGGTCTTCTTGGGCATGTGTGTCGTCCTTCACTTCCATCCTTTCCTTATCTCCTTCGTCTTCTTTGCCTTTTCTCTTTTTCGCGTTTTTCGCGTTCTTCGTTCGAGATGTGGTCTCATATCATGTCGATGAGGGCGATTTTCAATCCTGAGCGATTTGGGTCTTGGACGGACACTTGAAGTTGACGATTTCCCCTTCCTGACGTAGGGGGGGGGGCGGGTGCTGGGGGTTGTGCTTGTGAATGACCGTGCGGCTACACCGCCGCTGTGATTGACCAACGTTTTTGCGATATGGTTAACTGCTGCTGCGTCACGATAAACAGAGCTGTTGTGGCATTAGTTTCTCCTCGTGACCTTGGTGAGCTCCATCCTAAGCTGCTGAGCCTGTGTAGCACGTAGCACACGGGTGTGTTTTTTTAGGCGTCTTGCAAGGGGGGGGAGGATGCGTATACGTACATACATAAATACATATATACATGTATGGCTGTGGCCAAGACAAGACAAAAGCATCTGGACAGTGCTTTTGTACCGACTAGTTGCTGGTTCGTAAACAGCGCAGGCTTCCCGACCCTCTGCTGGGGCGACACGTTCAACACCGGTCAGGTGTCGTATGTTGCTTTTGTACATAATGGTGATGATGAATGGAAACAACGCTTTTAGTACGATTCGTGTGGCAAGAAATGTGGCCATGGCGATGGCGATTGCGATGGCGATGGGAACACAATCCATAGTATGCTTGTGACCGATCACGCAGGTACAGCGGTCGCGATGGCTCCCCGATGAAGCTGTTGGACTCTTGAGGTGTTGGGACTGAGGACGCACGCATCGGATGCCCACGTACCCTCGTGGGCGCAGAGAAGTGCCACCTTCCGCCTTGTGCACAATTGTCTGTCCTTTACCCGTGGTTTTACCTTATGATGTATGAAATAAAACCATTTGTGTATATTTCTATTCGCGGATGGTGGGTGCAAAATAAACGCCTGGTGGAGCTCATTGGGCGCGCATTCGATGCCCTTCTGCATTACTTGGGTTCTGGGGCAACGACGTCGTGCGTGTCGTACTCGGCACGACTCATGGTTTCGGAGCTACGAATGATGATGTGTGGTGGTGGCGGTACCATCAGGTGGTGGCTTACTGCCTGCAGGCTGTGATTGCCTGGCGGCGGCGTGTGCTGAGTGCTGTTGTGGCCGTGCAGTGGCACCCCTGGCAAGAAGAGGGGGGTGAGGGTGTAGGGGTGGGGTTGCGAGGTACGCACGCACCTGACTGCATGGGGCCCCCTGCACATGCCCTCTCCAAGTCGCGTGACTGTGTTTGCACAGCCACATGTTAGTTGTGGCCTACACGGGTATGTATGTATGTATGTATGTATGTATGTATGTATGTATGTATGTATGTATGTGTATGGGCGGCGGCTTGGTACACCGTACATATCGTACACACCATGTGCGGGAAAAGAAATGCACAACTGGGGCATTTCCGCGGTGGGTGTGTTTCAGCGAGAGCACTGACGTAGTCATCATTAGGACATCTAATTGCACCAGTGAGAGTGCAGATGAGCCCTGACGACGAACGGATGAACGGAGGAAGTTATGTCCGGAGGAAGGCTTCGTACTACTAGGACAGGGATGGGAAGGCGCGCAGGGTGTCGCGCAGGGTGTCACTGGCGCATTGCTCGTGGCTGCGTGCATGTGGCTACATTGGTGGCTACATGTGGCTACATATCTTCAACTTTATCTTCAAGTAGGTGGCTGTGAACTGGTGATTTTCCCCTTCCGCAACAGCAATGGAGGCGTGCTGCTTGGTGGGGCGCTATGAGGTGGGGTGAGCGTGGGGTTGGGGAGGATATGTGGGCGAAACTGCTGCGGCGGTTGTGAACGGAGACACACACGTGTTGCGTGGGAGACCTGTCCCGGCCACGGCCCTGGGAAGGAAACTCGGCAGGGATTTCGTTTTTCTGCCGCTTACTTTACCGTGCTTGTTCTTCCGTGACTTGGTTCTAGTTTGTCCTGGGATTTTGTCTGCTATGCTCTTTGCTTCCCTTTTCCGCGGTCAAAAGGTCGGAATGTTTTAAGTTCATATTCGTCGTACAAGGTTATGCACGTGCGGCAAGCTGATGCATGTGGCAAGGAGCGGCATCTGTTCTTATATTGCTCTTTTCTCTCTATCTCGCTAGTTTTCTCTTTTCTTTGGATCAGGCTACAGCAGGCTCCGAGCGGCTGAAGGAGCTGCTGCTGGCCTGCACCGATGGGTTGGCGTGCTGGCCTTGCGATTGATGCGCCCGAATGGCGGCGTGAGAAGACTGGATAGCTTTCTGCGTCTCAAGAGGCGCCGGCGCGTAATAACTCTCTTACGGCCTCAACTTAGGAAGATGCTCGAGTCAAAATGGCCATCAACACAGCGGCACGTCGACCCATTAACTGCGCACGGCTGCGCACGCATCCACAACTGGATGGACCGCACTGCTGATTCAGGCACGTGTACGAATATGCGCCAGTACGGCACTCCAGTTGTGTGTGTGAGCACTAGCGAGCTGAAGTGCCTTTTGTAAGTCGTTTTGAAGTCATTTGTGGGAGGCATTGAGTGGGTGGGTGATGTAACTGTTGGGAGGAGTAGCACAGCGGCAGCGGAAACGTTCCACAATCCGTCATTACATTCCACACACGGTGGCCATTCTGCGACTCTTTCTTTCGCCACAGGCCGATTACATGCTAATTACACAAGGCTAATGCTTGTAGAAGGGCAAAAATTACGGACGGTTACAGAATGAAAAATAGCAAATAAAGCAGATCGTGATCAAGGGGAGAAAGGGGCGACGAACAATGAAAGAATCCCAATGAAAAAATATCATCGATTTACCTGCACCTACTAACCTAGCTACCTAGCTCTTAACTAACGATCCACAGCAAAGCAAGACCGAATGCAGCGCCCGAAGTCATACAGAGAATTTTTGGGGAGCTTAGGAAGGGAATCCACGCAAATAATTTTGCTGTTACAAGGTGAAATGTACGACCTTGCGTGTGGATTGGTCGCGGACGTACGCGGACACGTGGAGGCATGGCGGTGTTCCCAGGGGGGCAAAGCCAAGGGTGTGTGTGCGCATGCGCGTGGGAGAGGAACGGACACGCTTTGATAGCAAGCGGCTTATCAGGAGGATCATCACCTAATTGCCTGAAGCGCTCGGCTGATTTCCCCGCTGTGTCCGAGCACACTCTCCCCGCTCCGCTAGCCTTCGACTGGGCGTAAGCTTTATAGGATCAACGAGACACGGCAGCCTCCGTGCGCTGCAGTCAACACATAGCGGCACATCGCCATCCTTCCTTACCTAGACAGTCGCTTTTCTCCTTTCCCCTTAAAATGCAACAAAGACACCGTGTGGTCACGACAGTGGTAGTACGGCAGTTACCCCGTGGGGGAAAGGGGGGTACAGCAGGCGTAATGAGCAAACCTCTTAACGGTGCTTGCAAGCTCATCCAGTCCGTAGTGACATTCCAGCAGCTGGTCTCAGTGTTTGCGGTTTGAGAAGTTATTGACGTGATCCTGCGCAGTTGCTAGGGTAAGGTGCTTGCTGCGGTACATCGGAAAAGGCTGCGTCCAGCGAGGATCCAGCCAAGAGGAGTTAACATTGGCGTCTGGGTGACAGTCCGCCGGGAACACGGAAAGATGGCGCGCCATCAACACGCAGGGTTTACACTCGCACGTAGCCCTCGGTGCGTGTCCCATATCGGAGGTGCGTGAGGTCTCGTCAAGAAAGCGATTCGTGCTGAGGCATTATTTGTAAGACAGGAGCAAAAAGATACCTGGTGGGAATGAACCCCGAGATATTTGCCAAACAAGAAGAACTTTAATGAGCTCAAGACGCTTAACGGGGCGGACTTCCATTTTAACATGGTCTTTTAAAACATCTCATAACTATATATGTAAGTAATCTTAAGGAAAAACAACTATTGATTTTTTATGTTAGCTCGCCATGATGGCAAAGCCAACACAATGACGGGTACTGCAGGGCCCTCACCAAGATCTCAGCGCATTGCATGGACCAGTGGGACCATCATCGGCATTGTCCCAATCATCGAACATGGTTTAAGGCTTAGTTTCTGTGATATGCGTGGACACCGTGGCTGGGGAGCTTTTCCTGAGCAGGATGCTGGTTGGGAGGTGCCTGAACACCAACTCGACAACTCCTGCAAGTAGATCTAAGTCTTGTTCTCAACGGTGCTGTGCTTTTATTAGCTCCACTGGCCACCAGCAGGCCCAAGTTGCTCAGGCAGCCGCCCGGACTAGTGCAACAAGCGAGGTGGGAGCCGGCCCTTCCCATGCATGCATTCAATGTAAAATCATGGCAATATGAGACAAACTATTTATTGTTTTGAGCAGGTTTGCCAGTCAGGGATATCTGCGCCTGTCGCGGGTCACCTGTCGGGGCTTTACCAACTGCTTGAGGCACCGCGATCCGAGCTGTCAGTGCAAGCACAGCTTAATGATCGGCTTAAGCACTGTAACACATGGGAGGAGCTGGCCGCGCTGCTGGAAGCAAACATAGACATCGTCGACTTTGTGAACGTTAGCACGGCCTGGACACGACTTGCGAAACTGTTTGAGTCAACGGGGCCGCATAAACGCGATGGATTGTCTGCATCTGGTGCGGCCCCCGTGCGAGAACCTGCGTTCCGGCGCTTCCTTGCACGGCTAATTGACACCACATCGCAGCAGCTGCGCCTGTTCGGAGTGCAGGCGCTGGCGAACGTCATGTGGGCCCTCAGCAACGCCGACTGGCAGCTGGAGCAGTACGAGCCGGCCGTGGACAAGTTGATGCACGAGTGGTGCGCCAGTGTGCACAACCGACTTCCGGAGCTCCGCGCCCCGGATGTCTCCAACATCTCCACCTCCATCGGCCGCCTGGATCACCGGTGGCGCCCGGAGTTTATTGTAGAATTTTATCGTTCCGTCCTGCACCGAGCAGATCTCCTGGAGCAACTGGATCTAACGACCCTCAACAACCTGCTGTATGGCTTGTCTCGGGCGGGCTGCCGCGGTCTCATCCACATGGGCCCCGCCTCGCGCCGACTGCTGGCGCAGTGCGTTGACCGGATCCTGGAGCGCCCTGACCGGGAAGCTGTAGGGCTGGTGCCCTGGCGCGCAGCCCAGCTCCTGTACAACTGCCATAAGTTTAAGCTGCGCGTGCGATCCCACCTGTACGGCGTGCTCATGCCTGTCGTGGCGGAGGTCTACACATGCGAACCCAATCCCATGGACTGCTGGTCCATGGGGTTCCTCACTGCCTTTGTAGCCGCGCACCGGCGAGTACACCCCACAGCGCGACCTGATCTGCGGCCGTTGTACGCCTACATGGAGCGTCGGCTACCGGAGGCGTCCACAAGCCAGCTGGCCATGCTGGCTCATGCATTCCGAGAGCTCGGCTGCCCCGCGCCGGCGTCGTTTTGGGGCCAAGTGTTCTCTCGGTACATGGGGGAGCCATTGATCCATTCAGTGCCAGTACCTGCACCAGTTCCGCCACACCCTGCTGCGGTATCGTCTGGCCTGGTGCAGCAGCAGCAACAACAGCCGCCGCAACAACAGCAGCTGCCCCAACAACGGGCAGCGGAGCAGCTGATTCAGCAGCGGCAGCGGCCACCTCACGCCTCGCAGCTTTTGGGGCTGCAGCCGCAGCAGAGAATGACAGCTGAATCTGCGGATGGGCGAATCCTAACAGCCGAACAGTTGCATAGCTCACAGGGGCTTCAACACGGGGGGGAGCCACCAGCAAAGACACAGGCGCAGGTTCTCGTGCCGCCGAAGCCGTCGACGCAGCAGCTGCAGAGGCAGCATTCGTTGCTATCACGGCAGCATCAAGCACAGCTGCAGCTGCAGGTTCAATGCCACCAGCAGCAGGCGGCCCAGGCGCTGCAGCAGCAGCAGATGCCACAGCCGCAGCGCGCTGCGGAGCGCGGGGTGGGATGCGGGGAGCCAGTGGGGGCTCATAGCTACCCGCAGGAGCCGTATCGGGGGTCACACGTGCACCGACCTGCTGCCCTTAATTCCGCACAGCAGTCACATCACCAGCTGCCCCAGCCGGCAGTCCGGCGTTTGCCTGGACACTCTGTTCCGCAGCAGCAGTCGCAACAGCAGCAACAACAGCCACAGCAACAGCTGCAAGAACAACAACAACAACTCCGACGGCCTCTGCCGCAGCAGCACCCTACGGAAAGGCCGGACTGGGTGACGCAGCAGCATCAGCAGCGGCAAGAACCACAGCAACAGCAGCCGCAAGCAAATCTGCCCCAGCGGACGTCGCGGTCGCTTGAATGGCCGCAGCAGCACCAGGACGGTGCAGCAGGGCCGATATTGCAGCAGCAGCAGCAACAACAACAACAACAACGGGCGCAGCAGCTTAATGCACCGCACCCGCATTCATCACAACCGCACTCGCCGCATCCGCGCGCGTCCCCGGACCCTCCTCCGCACCCTCACTTACACCCGCGTCCACACCACCCACGCCCGGGAGGTCGGTCCCTGCAGTCGACCGACCAAACGGCTTTAGCAGTGGCGGGGCCCGCAGCCTTCCAACCGCCCAGGCTCGTGAACTCGAGCATGGCAGTGGCGGCAACGGTCTCCTTGCCCATGCATCCGGATGATGACTTGGCGGAGCCGCGCACATTGCATTACGTGTGCTGGCAGGCGGCCAAGGCGGGCATCTTGCCTCCGCGCGCCTTCCTGCGGCTGTACGTGGAGAGGGTTCCTCAGTGGTTGGTGCACTCTGCCGACGATACGCAGGTGGCGCAGGCGGTAGAGACGCTGAAGCTGCTGCGGTGGGTGCCGCGGCGGGAGCTGCGGGACATGCTGTGCGCCACGTTGAAGCGCCGCGCGGCGACATCGCGACTGCCCATGCGGTCGCTTTTGCGGTGGGTGCGACAGCAGCGGTGACCCGCGAAGCTGGATGTGGATGCCACAGTGGTGGTGTGCTGTGGCACATCGGGGTTTTGTTAACCGATGGCATGGCGGGGTGGTTGTATGATGGTGGTTGCTTACTTGCTTGCTTGGCTTCTCGTGGCGGTTGCGGTGGTCTTGAGCGCTGCAGGGCTGCTGAGGAGTTTTTGTGTTGGTGTTTTAAGGGCTTCCGCGACGGTTACAGGACGGCTACGGGAAGAGGGTCACAGCTCACAGGGGGCGCCCGGGCTGGTGCTGGTGATGCATGGGCTGAGGCGCGTCAGGTTGGGCCGAGGTTAAATTTGATGCGGAATGTTTTTTTGAATAGGGGGCAACGCACCCCCCAAAGTAGAGCACCTGAAGGGAAATATGCTATGGCTATGATAGAGGTTTAGGTTGTGGCAGCAGTATTATATTACAGGGGCTGCTGTGGCCCCCTCGACCTGGAGGAGGACGGGTTCGAGTGGGTCCAATAACCTGCGGGGCAGTCAGAGGGCATGCATGCTGTACATGTTGACGTTGGCGATGGTAGTAGTGTAGTGGTGGTGCAGGGCCACGGTCCCATCGGTGCTGCTGCCTCAAAGCACGAAAGGTCAATGACTTCAAGCAGCGGCATGGAGGCGTGTATGTGTGTATGAGGGTAAATGTGCTCGGCACCTATTCGCGCCCTCCGATACGTTACTACGCCAGGGCACAGGTGGGAAGGCCTGCTGGCAGACTTTCGCAGGTTCACAGGTACGCACATGTGGTGGGTATGCAGAGGCTCGCACAGCTCCTGCATGTCCACACGTGCGAGCGGGTCTGCACGCTGCGCGCCGCTGTCACCATATCCAAGGCCACAGGAAAGACAGCAGCAGCAGAACGACTGGTGTGGAGACGCCGGTGCTGTTGCCAGGAACGCAAACTGCCGACGAGTAAGGTATAGCTGGATGGCTGCTGCGTGCTGCTGTGCAGACAAGCTGCGTCTGCGGCTGTGGCCCGTGTGGGACTGTGGCCGTACGTGCGCATTTGAGTGGCTGCTCTGCCAGAGTCTTGCAGCTTGTGATCCTCCAGGCGGTTCACACTCGTATGTATTCTGTGTAGGACCTATGTGAGGGAGATGGGTAGGTAGTGTTCGGGCATTGGCATTCCGTGGAAGCGCAACCCCCCTCTGTTCAAAACGGCGTTTTGCTGTGCTGCTAGATAATTCTGCTGGTTGTTGTTGTTGTGAGAGGCCAGGGGAGATGTCGGTCCACGTTTTTACATGTTCAACGTGTACGGTCTGAATGAATCTAGGCGCTTATGCAAGAGAAGATTCTCTCCAGTACTGCAGGTGTGCATGTGGTCGCGAGCGTGGTGTTTATCTTCTGCAGGATAGAGAGTGTGTATTTTATTGGGATATGTCGATTGTGGATTCGGGGCTGTCACCGGTCTTACCGGAAAGGGTTCTAGCGGATGTCGACCTCCCGGCCAAAGATGCGGATAACTGACCGATGGGTAGAGCTACCCCTAGGGGAGGAGGAGAGGTGTTGGTTCCCGCGATGTAGAGCGATGCTGTGCTCTCGCCGTTAAAATTCTTAGTTGCAGAAACGGCAGCAGCGCCCCAAGGGCTTTTAAATTAATATGAATTACCATTAACCATTAATATGTGGTTGACAACTGTGAAGGGTCATGGAAGTTGAACGAATGCAAGTCCACTTTACGTAGATTTAGAGCAGGCAACCTCAAGACACATCATGTCCGCGTTGGGGTGTTGGTATTGGTCGGGCGCGGGTATGCTCTACCGATTTGGGCAGGGTAACTTAGTGAAGGACATGGAGAGTGCAGAGGGTGGTAATAGGTATAGGCCTGCCCTTATATTCCCTAGGGTTGCACTTCGGGAAAGTAGGTTGCTTCAGATTTTGGAAAACATATCGAAGCAGGGAGCAGGCTAGCTGGATCCTTTTGCGACTAGGGCTTGTGCCAGTTACTGCATGCAGAGAACTTGGTGAGATTTGAAACTTGCCGAACCACCAAACAAAACCATCCGGGGAGGAGAAAATGGCGCCATGGGCACCACCACGAAAGCACGCATGAAAACGTGACGGTGTGCGTACGGAGTTAAGTGTGTAATTATATCGTTTCGTGCACCAGCACCTTCGTCATTGCACTCCACACCAAGCCTCCGCATTGCTTATCCCAATACACAAAAACTCAACCGCTGTTGCGGAAATCGATACAAGAAGGTCTAAAACACGCTGACACCCCGGCGCATGGAGCTCCTGCGCTCCATCCGGACACTCCCATGCAGTGTCCAAACCCACGCGGCGACGTGCTATTGCAGGAAGCATATCAACAAACATTGAAGCAAACGTTATATAGTCCGGTATTCATCCCTTCGCTAAACCCAAACTTCCGATGCGCTCAGAAGCAACTGCCGTACATGTTTGCTCGCACGCGCTGCAACATGAGCTGAGGCATTTTGGGCCCGTCTCCCTGGCCTGTGACTGAGGCTTACAAAAGTGAAAGTACGTCCCCTATCTCCGGCAACTGCAGCTGTTGACAGTGCTGCGACCCTACCCCGGTCGGATCATCCGCCGCCCAGAATTGACAGCCCCCCCTCCCCCTGTCCAACACAGTGACACCCCTCGCAGCTCCTGCCTGCTTTTCAGACCATCTCTCCGCCCTGAAGAAGGCCTTGAGCGTCATATGCATGTCTATGCGTTAGACATTGGTGGCAACGACCAAAGCCGTCACATAGTGCTAACTGCCCCGGCCTCTGGCAACGCAGCCCAGCTAGGGCAACAGCTTGGCTTGGAGGCGTTGTATGTAGTGTTCCGTATTGTCCAGGCTCCATCCACGCCAGTGTCGAAAATACGAGCAGAGTAACTATGGGGGGACTATTTCCCTTGCGAGCCGGCTGCCGCTGCTGCTGCCGCCGCAGCTGCCTGCTGCTCCATTTGGGAGAAGAACTCCTGAAACCGCATCCCAACGCGTGCCGTGACGTGCATGAATTTCTCGCAGCACTTCGCTACGCACTGTTGGGGGAGGGAGGGGTGAAAGAAAGAGGCTTATGTGGCTCAATATCAGAGAGACGTCCGATCCCGTCGCCGCCGGGATTCAGCTGATAATAAATCGTCCGCAGGTTTTTGGAGATAAAAGCACACGGGAGCCTAATCCTCCGCAGCATACACACGGATAACGGCGGGTGGGGGAGAGGTCACAGGCTCTGATTGCTGTGCGCTAGATGCACGTTGCCGCGATGCCGGGTACGCACCTGCTCCTCCTTGGCAGTCAGCGCCTTGCTGCGCATGTCCTCCACGCACTCCTTGAAGCATCGCTCGACTAGCCGGTTATACATTTTGAGGCTGCGTGCATGTCAGTATGAGACCATTCCGTGATCCCGTAAGCATAGAAGGCGCAGCTGCTTTGGGGTCGGGTTTTGTTTGGGCCGCCTTCACGCGACGCACCTATCGCGCACTTGCATCTGCTCCAACGCCGCACCCAGCGCCATTTTTGCATCTTCTGGGAGATCTTGCACGGAGTCTAGCGGAAAGTTCATGATGGAGCTGATGTCTCGTTAATCGGAAACTCTAGACGCCAGCAAATGTTGCCCTATGATAAAGGGCTTCTTCCGAACGTATGAAATCGGTACACTGTTCTCCAATGCATGGGGATGTTGCCTGCTTTGCCAATTTTGTAAAATTATGGCACAAGTACGGCATGGCGCGATGTCGGCTCTTGGTTCTACCTTCCAAAAGTTATATTCAATTGTGTATTTATAGATTTTTGGTTTTCAAGATGGAGGCCGTGCAAGGGGCCGCGGAAGCGCTTCGCGCTCTGGTAAACAAAGGAATCGCGCTGACTGGCTTTACCGATACTCAGTTGCTGCAGTTGGCAGTGGCAGCTGTAGTGGCGCTTGGACTCGTGTATTTGATTAAAGATGTGATCAGCACGTTGGGCATCCCGTCTATCAAAGTGGAGCTGAGCGATGGTGAGCACGCGGGGTGGGGTACAGACTGCTGCGCCATACCATCTGTGAGGTTCTCCGTACACCGCAGCCGAGTCAAATGATATCATCGAAGCAGCAAAGTACACTCCTGGGCAGCCGGTCGACAAGGACGTGGTGCCATGCTATGATCCTAGCACAATGCAGCTCCTCGGCCACCTACCCGCTATGTCCGCTGCTGAGGTGAGTAGCCATAACTGAATCCCTCTGATGCTGGATGCGCGGAGCTTAAGTCGTTGATTGCCGGAAGTTGAAAGTCCCGCTTTCTATGACAGCCCGACCGTAACGGCTACAAGCAGGGGCCCCACACTCGCTTCTCACATTGCCACATCCCGTTGTTGCGTTGGGCAACTTCCCTCCCTGGGCCCTCCCACCGGGTCCTTGCACGTGGTTCGCATGCAACTTTTGCCTCTCCCACATTGCAAAAGCATGCTCAGCCGCGATGTACACAGCGCTCAAAGACCTCCGAGGGAATTCCCTAGATCCCGTCCCTGGCGCACAACTCCCACTGGCTAACACCGGGGCATGGGAAAATCCTCACACGCCTTCCTCTCCTCGCCTCCCCTTTCTCCGCGGGCGGCCCCCCCATACGCAACAGGTCAAGGCTCGCATCGCTCGCGCCCGGGAGGCTTCCAAGGTGGGGTAGGGGGTTACGAGTTGGTGTTGGTGCTCAAGGCAGCCGCGACCCGGGGCGCATTTACACCTCTGGAGTCTTTAACATCTGGGCTAAGAGATGACCGCGTGTCGTAGTCGGTTTATTCTTCAGCTTTCTCTTGTTGAGGCTGGCCGGATTGACAGTCCCTAGCTAGCAGCAGGGAAAGAACGAACCCACTAACACAACAAGACCTCACCCAAGGGGACGTATATCGCATTATACAGCACCGCCTCCGTTGCTCGGCGGATTTTACAAGTATACAAGTACAGGATCGAACTGGCGACTTACCGACGACGCTTGCTGATAACTGGTCTTACCTAACCCTGTTTGACTGAATAATGAACGACGGCGCGGCCGAGAGCACACTTCCTACAGGCGGTTTAGATCACGGAGTGCCTGCCCTCCCTCGTCGGGGCATTGCCCTCTTTTTTCGCTTTTCCTGTTGGTGGGGAAGCGATGATGGCGGCGACACCCCGTGGTGGTGTGGTGTGGCCCAGATTCCGATGGACAACCTTCCGATGAAGTCGAATAGGTGGTGCAGGGTGGTGATGTCGGTTGTCGTTTCGGCCATGTGGTGCCATCCCATCACGTATACATGGACGGGGTGGCCTGCGGTGGTTGCGGCGACGGTGCAGGTGTGGCGGCGCTCGAGCTTCTCTCAGCGCCGCAAGCTTCTGCGCATCCTGCTCAAATTCATCGTGGAGAATACCGAGACCATTTGCAGGTGTGGGCCGTGTCTGTGCGTGTGCATGTGTATGTATGGGGTGGAGGGAGGTGACTTGGATGGGACGGGGAGCGGGAAGCGGTGAGTAGGGGGTGTTTGGGTGGACAGAGGCGGGAAGAGGGACCCCCTGACTGACCGCTGCACCCCCTGGTCCTCCTTGCTCCGCCCCCATCTCTTCCTCGCATGTGTGTTCCCCTCCCCATCCCGCTCAGGGTATCTGCCCGCGACTCCGGCAAGCCGCTTCTTGACGCTATCGTGGGTGAGGTGGTTGTCACCTGCGAGAAGATCCACTGGCTGTGCAAGGAGGGGGAGAGGTACCTGAGGCCGGAGAGCCGGTCGTCGGGAATCATGGTGCGTGGTGGTGGGGGAGGAAGGGCCTGCAGGCGGGGGGTCGGGGCCTGTATGTATGTATGTATGTATGTATGTATGTATGTATGTATGTATGTATGTATGTATGTATGTATGTATGTGTCTCAGCTGGGTTGCCAGAAGACGTGTTTCCCGGGGACGCCATGGCTGTGGCTACTTGCAGTGCCGCCGCCGAGAGGGGCTAGAAGAAGAGGACCCCCCCAAGGACATGAGGCGATGATTGACATCAACATGAACATGGGTGCCCATTTCCCCGTTCACCACGTTCCCTGGGCCACGTCCTGGGGTTCGGGTTGCCGAGAGAACTTATCCACCCATCCACCCATTCACCCTCCTCCGCCCTTTCACCCCACCTACACGTATATATACACATGCACATCCCTCATCGCTGCTCAGGTGCTCAGATATCTAAATGCACATCCCTTTCTTAGGCTACCATTGACTTGCAACGCGATCCTCTTACTGCACCTGCACCGGCACCCCTCCGTCTCCTCCGCCCGTACCAGAGCTTCTACAAGGCCGCCCGCGTGGAGTACATCCCCCTAGGAGTGGTGAGTGGCAGGGGGGTGGGTGCGGGGCAAAGTGGGGTGGGCTGGGTTGCGGTGTATGTTAGGTGGGGTGGATGAGGAAGTGGCAGTTTTATAATTACTGTCCGTCCGCTAGCCTGGGGATCAATCCCTTATCTGAAGGGACCTGGCTGGGGGGGGAGGACCAAGCCTCCGCATTGTCCCCCGCTGAGTTGTCAGATCTACAGGAAGGCCTCCTCTCCAGCTATACCTACCTAGCTACCTAACAACCAGCCAACCCGGCACTGTCCGCTTTCATCCTACCCGCCATCTCCATCATCGGGGTTTGCGAAGCGAAATTTCCAGAAGCTACCACCTACCCTTCTCCAACGTCTCGCCCCCTACCCATCTTTTCGCTGCCCGCATCCTCCCACCATGCTATGTTTAGGACTCCAGCAGCGATTTCAAACTTTGATGGACGGATGCCGGCGGACCGTTCATTCCTTGTTTCCTTGCATATGATTCACCCACCACCACCGCAACCACCACAACCACCGCCTCCCCGCAGGTTGGAGCCATCGTGCCCTGGAACTACCCCTTCCACAACGTCCTCAACCCGCTCACTGCGGCTCTGTTTGCCGGCAATGCGCTGGTCATCAAGGTGGGGCCGAGGGAGGGGGGGTTGTAAGGCGGGCTAGAAGGTCAGTGGTGTGGGTGTGTATCGGGAAAGGCCCCCCTTCTCTCCCTCCCTCCCTTTCCCCCTCCTTTCCTTACCTTCAATCCCGAACACGGCGGGCCACCCCCCCCCCCCACTCTTTGGCTCCAGGTTTCGGAGCACGCGTCCTGGTCCACCGGCTACTACGGGCGCATGATATCCTCCGCACTGGCCGCCGCCGGCGCCCCCTCCGACCTGGTTCAGATCGTCACGGGGTACGGGGAGGCGGGAAATGCGCTGGTTACCGGCGGGGTGGACAAGGTCATCTTCGTGGGCTCCACGCAGGTATACTGGGGTTGTGTGTGTGTGTGTTCGGGGGGGGGGGCGGGGGACCCGGGGGTGAGTGTGTGTGTATATGTGCATGCGTTTGCGATCCTGTACCTAATTTCAATCGTGACACATGACAGCTGGAAACAGGGATTACTGGTGTACGGGAGGCTGAAGGAGGGAGGATGAATTCGGAGTCATCATCCGGCCCTCCCAGAGCGTGTGTGTGTGTGGTCGTGTATGTGTGGTCGTGTGTGTGATTGGGGGCTCTTGGGCGTCTCTTTGCATGTGGCTGGTGTCCTAAACACGGGAGGAGATGTCACCTAAACAGTCTCCCTCTCCCCTCCTCCCTTTCCCTGGTTTCCTGCGCTGGGGAGATATTCGGTTGGTTGACTTGACCTGGGGGTGGGAGCTACTGAGGGCACAACTTAGTGACAGCTGAGTGTGTGCAGCTGCTTTCCTGCTTGGTCACCGTCCCCCTTCTCCTTTCGCCTTCCTTGGCAGCAGCTATTCTCACTCGTTCGTGGCTCGTCTTTCCCCTACCTTCCCCCGCCCACCGCTCCCGTTCCGGCCCAGGTTGGCAAGCTGGTCATGCGTGCGGCTGCTGACACACTGACCCCCGTGGTTCTGGAGCTCGGGGGTAAGGACGCGTTCATTGTCACTGAGGACGCCGACCTCGACCAGGTGGGCGGTTGGGGTGGATGTGGGGTCAGGGGTGGGGGGTGGCTGTTGTTAGGTGGGGTGGGGTTTGTGCCCATGCTAGAGGCTGGGGGTCGCATCGGGGAGGGGAGGGGACATCCCGCTGGTGTTTCCTTACCTCCACCCGCCTGCGGATGTTCATTCGGACTTAGGGAGTGGAACTTTACATTTTGCCTCTTATCGCTCCCCCCCCTCTTGTACAATCTTCCCTTGGCAGCAGCTTCACTCGTTCGTGGTTCGTCTTTTCCCCCCTTCCGGAACACACAACAGCCGTACGCATCCTCTCTGCCCTTTCCACTGCTTCTTCCGCGCAGGTGGTGCAGATCAGCCTCAAGGCCGCCTACCTGAACTGCGGACAGAACTGCGCGGGAGGCGAGCGCTTCTTCGTGCACGACAAAGTGTACGACAAGTTCCTGGAAAGGGTACGGCGCACAAGAGCACGCTCCGCCTCGAACCCGTTACCGTCTTCTTCTCAATCGCCTGTGTTCTATGCCACCCTCCCCGACATATCACATATACGGCCGCACGCCTTTCCCAGCCGGAAGTCCCCACTACTTCCCCTTGGGTTGCAGTCCGCTGCCCTTGGGGCCTCCGCTTACCAGTGCTGTCCACGGCTGTCCCGCAGCCAACTGCCGTAACCGTGTCCCAACTGCCGTAACCATCATCCCCTCTCCCTCCCACTCCTCCCCCTCCCTCCCACCTCCAGGTGACCCCCCTCATTCGCAACCTGCGTCAGGGCAACCCGCTGGGCCCCCAGCCAGTGGACTGCGGAGCCATGTGCATGCCGGGTGGGAACACGGTGGCGGTGGTGGTGGCACACAGCGGAGGGAGGGGAGGGGTGTGGAGAGGGCTCAGCTCTAGGGCACAGGGACACGTCTGGGCCTGGATGTGTCACGCGAAAGGCGGATGGGTTTGGGGACGCACTCCCCCGCGTGTGTTGTGTTTTGTTTACCACGACGCATTGGGCCTTACTTAGGTCCTGTTAGGTGTTGTCCTTCTTTGGGTTTTAGGGTTATCTCTTGGTCCCGATGCACGTCCATGCTCACCACCACCACGACTACCACCATCACCATCACCCCCCCCCCACGCGCCATTAACTAATGCGGGGGGGGCCCCCGCGGGCCCCCCGGATCTCCTTCCCGCGGGGTAGATGTGAGCCTTGAGGGTTGCGTCGGCACATCACATCAGCCAGGTGTGAGGCACTCCAGTGGCCTTACCCAGTCTCGTCTCACTGTTCTGCTGTTTAGATCCCCTCCCATCCCCCTACTCATCACCGCCACCATCATCACCGTCATCTTGCGCCCGCAGGTCTTGCTGAGAAGGTGCACGGCCTGGTAGAGGACGCAGTGGCCCGGGGGGCCCTGCTGCTGGCGGGTGGCAAGCTGCGGTCCGCTTCTGAGGCGGGAGGGCAGTTCTACCCGCCCACCCTGTTGGCGGATGTGCGACCCGGGATGAAGATCTGGGAGGAGGAGGTGTTTGGCCCGGTGCGTCCTGGGGTGGGGGATCGGGGGGGGCACCCCACGAAAAGAGGGGAAAATAGAGGGGGTGTGGAGAAAGAGGCGGAATGCGGTGGAGGGGTGGAAGGAGGAGGTCAAGGTATGCGTGTGTTTGTGTGTGTTGCTGTAGGTGTGCATCCAAGGAGGAGTGGGGGGAAGGAGTGGGGGGAAGGGGAATGGGAAAGAGAGGAGGAGGAGGAGGAAGGCGGCATTAGGAGGGCCGGCGTGCCAGGCCCAGACTCGGATTAGGTCGTGGGTTGGGACGTTTTCCCGCGTAGCTCAGTACCATGGTTCTTACCAGGTTGCCGCGGCATCTCCTCTCTTCCTGCGCCCTCCCTGGCCCACCCTGCATCGCACTGTAGACTTGTCATTGATTTGAGGAGAGAAGAGGAAATGTTGGGAACAGTATGTCGTTGCCGCTTCCACCGCTCCCTCCTGCGGCTACTATGGCCGGCTCTCGCTCTGGCTGCCAGATCAGCAGCTCCTCAATCCCTCTTGCCTCCCATCTGGTCAAGTTCTCCTCATCCCGTCCCCGCCTTCCCTGAACTCCCTTTCCCCCGGGGACGCCAATCTCTTCCTCTCCTCCCCCTCTCCTACCGCGCACAATGTCCACCAAAAGGTGATGAGTGTGGTGCGTTGGAGCACCGATGACGAGGTGGTGGCGCTGGCTAACGACTGCCCCTTTGGCCTGGGCTCGTCCGTGTTCGCGGGCAGCCAGCGCCGTGCTCGCGCCATTGCCTCCCGGCTGGAGGCGGGCATGTCCGCCATCAACGACTTCGGCACCACCTACATGTGCCAGTCGCTGCCCTTTGGCGGAGTCAAGCACAGCGGCTTTGACCGCTTCGCGGGTGGGGAAGGGGAGGGGAGGGCGAGGGGGAAAGCGACGGTAATCATGGTGGTCATGGTGGTGGCGGGCGTTGTGGATACTTGGTGCACGTGTTTGGGGTTGCGTGTGGTCCCCTCTGGGGTTGGAACCATTGGATGAACACGTTGGAGTTGTTGTTGTTGTTGTTGTTGTAGATGGAGTCCGGTGGCGTCAGTGAACCCGATTATCGTGCATTCGGTCTTGCACTGGATTGGAAACTCCCTGCCTGTCTGGGGATTCCGTTCCCTGTGGGGCTGAACGATTGGGGGTTGGCACCGACTGTCGTCAAACATCACGCAAGACTCCTCAACCCTAATGGCATTGCGGCTCCCCCATCTGTTCCGCGCCCTCGGCACCCTTGCTTCGGACACCGCAAGGTGGCGCTTTGGTCGTCGGCACTTGACTCCTCCTTTACCTCTTTACATCGTATTACCTCGATACGGTTCCCCCAAACCCTTTCCCCTGTCCCCTCCGGGCGTCGTGTCCATAAGGGGGAAGCTCCCTCCAAAGCATGATGGCGGCTTTCCCTTTTCCTATCCCCTAACTCCCGAACACAATGCCTTCACTTTACAACTTTTCCCACCCTTTCCCCGACTGGGCAGGCATCGAAGGTCTTCGCGGGCTGTGTGTGCCCAAGTCTGTGTGTGAGGACCGCTTCCCGCTGCTGATGAAGTCCTCCATTCCGCCCCCCTGGGAGTTCCCTGTCAAGTCCAACGCCGTTGCCTTCGGCCGCTCCTTGGTCGCCATGTTCTACGGCCCCGGACTGATCTACCAGGCGGCTGGGCTGGCGGCGTTGCTGCACTGCCTGGTTTTCCCAGGGGCGCACGGCAAGACGGCGAGGGGGGCGGGCAAGTCCAAGGCAGCATGAGGGGGCCAGGGCAGCAGCGGCGGAGAGAGAGCGGGTTGCGCTGTGGCGGGAGCGCTGGGTGGGTGGGGGTGTGTGAGGAGAGAGCGGCAGCGAACTGAGCATGATGAATCAGGGGAGGTGTGCTGAAGCGATGTTGGCAAGGGCGGCGCCGACTTATGCTGTCCGGAGGGAGCTAGTGATCAGCAACCCATGGTGCATGGTTGGGACGATGATGAGATGCTCGGCGGGGAGAGAGAGAGAGAGCTACGATTGACACAGATTTGGAGGATTATAAAAACTGGACATATGGACATATGGGTGCCGCACCCGAAAAGGTACTCGGCGTCCGGCAGTGTGGCTAATGCTTGGTCATGGCCGGTGAACTACTTGTACATGTACACGCCGTCCAGTCCGCACTGCTTGCGGTGATGCTGTCGCGGTGCCGGTTCCTGCGTGGTCGTTGCCATGAGGTTGCAAGTAGAGCACTGGAACGACGGCGGGTGGATGGGTCGCATTTGCCTTCCTCATTTCCCGGGTGGGGAAGAGCGAGAAAGAGAAGAGAGGATCCCGATGAGCGAGTGGAGCGGGCTGCCGTTCCTTATAATGGGCCCTGCCTTATGGACAGCTGCCTGGCAATATTGCTCATATTCCTGAGGTCTGGTGTCTTTTGTGAGCTCGGGGGTTCGCAACGAGGGTTGCTCCGTTCCTGTTCTGTGTCCTATTTTGTCTTGAGAGGAGGTCAGGCCGAAGGGTTTGGAAACCGGCCAGATGCGAGGTGATGTTGACGTTGGATGAGGGTCGGTGTTTTGAAGGCCGCGAGCTAATGGCGTCTTTCTGCGCGCGTCTTCAGATGGCAGCTGGCAAGCATTTTTCCATAAAAGGATTGTTAACGCCTCGTGCAGGACTCAAGCTTAAAGGTGTCCTGAGAGATAGGTCGCATCTAGGACGCGGCTCGGGTGTGATGTGCGCGCGATAAGGGGCTCCAGCGCGCCCTCGAAGCAGCCAACATAGCCCGGTGAGCAGCGCGCGCGGTGCTGGAAGCGGCATTGCGTCGCAGGAGCGGGTGATGTTTAATCTCCCATGATTGACGGATAGGATTCGGTGTGCGGAAAGTACATGCACGGTGTGTTTATATAACGGTTACAATATTTCGGGCCGATGCTTCTTATGTGTGCGCGCAGCTGGATGGAGAGCGTGATTGGAGTTACGGGCAAACGACGGGCAAACAAAGACCTGATTTTGCTTTGTTTTCCGGAAGACCAGGACCGACCAGCCGCGACCATGCTTGACGGCTCCCGGGGTTAGGACTACTGCGGCGCTGCCTGGCTAGAATGATGCAGAGCGCAGCACAGCACGTACAGCTAGGGGGGTTTACATGGACAAATTACGCGTGCTGGTTAAGAGCCGGCTGCTGCATTGGAGGGCGACGGAAGAGCGTGTGTGTTTGTGTAATTGTTCCATGGCAAGGGGTTTTGGACGGTTTTGGTTTTGGAGCGCATGTATGATGTGTGGGACAGGGGGGCATATCTTCGCCCGTGGCCGCTACCCGGCGAAACCCTGCCTTCCCCGGTATTTCGGGGCACCCTCATCTAGCCACCCTAGTCAACTTTTCAGTGGATTGCTTAGGTTCCACACCCGCCACCAGCATCCAACGGAATCTGCCGGATCGACGTCGGCCCAACTCCATCCTGATCAGCATGTATGTATGATGTGTGAAACTGGGGGGTATATCTTCGCCCGTGGCAGCTACCCTGCGAAACCCTGCCTTCCCCGATATTTCGGGGCACCCTCATACAGTCACCCTAGTCAACTTCTCAGTGGATCGCTCAGGTTCCACACCCACCACCAGCATCCAACGGAATCTGCCGGGTTGACAGCGGCCCAACTCCATTCCTGATCGGCTCGCAGGTTAACTTTATTCCAGGTTACCACCGTCCATCAATTAGGAGCGCAATACCTTCCACCATCGGGAGGATTTTTGACCCTAACGGGTATCGACCCCGGGAATGGTCGCGCGTTACCAGTATGATGTTGTATGTATGATGATGTTACAGGATGGTATAGCTTCACCAGGGGCCCCCTTTCCCGAGGCAATGTCCTGCTCTCCCCTGCTACTGGGGCACCCTAATCCATTCACCCCATCCGACTTCAGAATGTACTCGCTCGGTTCAGCACCTCACCACCAGCATCCAACCAAATCTAGTGGATCAACGGCGCCACGACTTAGTTCCTGGTCAGCTCGCAAGTTGATATAATTACGTCCTACACTGTCCACAAGATGGGGGACCACCTCCCAATTCAACATTCCTCAAAATCTGAGGAGTCGACAGGCGAATTTGAACCCGGCATTCAGGGAGCAGAAGTCAAGCCTTAACCTCTGCCAGCCACCTGCCTGTATGTATGTATGTATGTTGCTTTTGCTGTTGCCTCTACAGGATTCCAAGATGCGAATGTTCGCAATGCCTTTTACTGTTGGGGATTAAGGAGGTGAGGAGCCTTTGCTGATATCCGGAAAGGTATCCGCGAGGCTGTGCAGATCCGGTTAATATAGATTACGGTAGAGCTCGGAAAACCTTCCTTCCGTGTACTCCTAAAACTATCTTAACCCTGGCCTGTGCCAGTTCTGCATACCAGCCGAACCAAGTTAACCACTGGGCCTCTGACCAACGGAAGCCTACCTTATCCCCTCTTTCGGCATTATAGTTATGAGAGGACCGTAAACATGGTTCACATGCCGACGTGTCATGCACGGTACAAGAAGCCGGCGCTAGGGCCTAGGCCCTGGGCCTAACAAGCCCTGCTAACTGTCACATATAGTACGGTGCTTGGTGTAGCATGAAACTTCGTGGTATTCGCGCTCTATTGCGTACAAATGTTCCGCTTAGTTAAAGTAATGTGTTTCTGTCGACCAGAGGCAAATGGATTAACTGACATGGGTATCATTTGGGGCAATTTCGGCTGAAACCCGGAAGTACATTTAAGTAGCGGTTTTCGCGATAACGCAACGGCTTTAAGCCCTGTTTAGAAGCCCTATCGAAGGTCGCCTTACTGTACTACGAATGAATACCAGCATTATAAAAAGCGGCTTTCTCCATTAGGTTGTTACAATATCTACATATATTCATTTACTCTGCAAAATATCCGCCATAATGGCGTCTCTCAGGCTTTGTTGGTTAATAATGTTGTTGTCATTGAGCAATACCGATTGGACTGTCAGCGCTGCCAGGGCGCCCAAGCCCACTGCATCACCCTCTCCGCCCCCGTCCTCGTCGCCTCCGCCCTCTCCGTCGCCAGCACCCTCTCCGGCTCCCTCGCCTTCCCCTTCGGCGCCGCCCCCAAGCCCGGCAGCACCATATTCGCCAGAAGGTTTGTCTCAAAAACGGATTGCTAACAGACGAAAGGAAGACCCGGCATGAGCATAGTTTATCCCGACTACTTGCTCTGCTGGTCGCAGTGTGTACGTCGCCGACTTTGCTATGGTCTGACGAGTTTGACGCGGCGACCTTGGACACCTCTTCTTGGAATTACTTTACTGGTACAGGTGAGCGTTAGGAATCTCGTTAGCCGACCAACTGTAATTGCGCTCGCTCGTGCCAACCGCTTCAAGCTCCGCCACCCTTTGGCTTTAACATGCATCCTAGGAAAACACGGTAAAATATGTCGCTGTTTGGCCGCCGATTCGTCCCCTTTTCATCACGACTGCAGCATACAACAACGAGCTCGAGTACTACACTTCTCGCCCCGAAAATGTGCGGCTGGAGAACGGCAGTCTGGTCATCGAGGCACGGGCCGAGGCTTACGGCGGCATGAACTACACTTCGGCCCGCATTGACACTCGGCTCAAGCGCGCCTTCTACCCGGGCGTCTCCGTGAACGGCACCGTTGTTCCCAAGATCCGCTACGAGGCCCGCATGAAGCTCCCAAAGGGTGCGTGTGGGTGGAGGATGATGGAAACATTCTGTGTACGCGGGCAGCAATGAGCGGGCTGCTGACTACTTTCCAGGGTTTACAAGACACCCTGTAATGGGTTCTGCTCCAAAGTTGTTGCAAGAAATTACTTTTTTTTAGTTGAAAATTGAAAACAATTTTTGTTGTATTTGTTGTTGCGAATGATGCTGGCTTGCCCTGAAGCACCTTACTGAAACATTTTAAGTGGTACCGATATGACTATAATAATAATAAAAACTTATTCCCGTTTTTGGCTCGTGATATGTTGTACAGGTCAGGGCATGTGGCCCGCATTCTGGCTGGCACCCAACAGCCAAGTCTGTGACGCGTGCGGCCCGTACGGATCTTGGCCGTATTCCGGAGAGATCTACATCCTTGAGGTGTGAATGGCATGCTGCGATGTCTGCCGGTTTGCCGTGGCGGGGGGGGGCGCGGGTGAGGACCGCGATTGGGCCGTCCACCAAATTTCCCGTCTGCAGACGTGCTGTGCTGCAGACGTGCAGCGTGCAGCGTGCAGACAGCTGTGAAGTAAACGCACTACATACCGTTGTGAAGCTTCCTCTTCCAACCTCGCTGTCCGTTTTTTCTCTCTCCACCGCGCTGTGCAGGCCATTAACAACATGACTTACGCGTTTGGGACTGTCCACTACGGCGGCTTCAGGTCGGATGGTAAGACTGGCAAAGGCTCGGGTGAATGGGAGTTGCTAGCACAGCCGGTGGTTGTACAAGTGGTCGTACAGGTTTTGGGAGGGCCGCTCATCACGTTCCCCGCCACCACACACAGGCACGGCGTCTGTGCTATTATTGCCTTTCGGATATGCCATATGCACCCATGTGCATGTCTACACGGATTTGACCTATTAAGGGTGTGTGTCCCCGTGTACTTGTACGCATGCAGGGCAAACATTCAACAACCAGGGGCATTACCGACCCACCTCGTTCAATCTGGGGCTGGAATGGTGGGTTACTGCTGCTGTTATGGCTTCATGTGCGTGGGCCTGTCGCAATACACGATCATGAAGCGTTCGGTGACGCAAGCATTGCTTGCTGCCTTTGTTCTTCGCGGGGCATGCGCATGCATGTCCGCTGTGCTTCACGCCTGATGTGTGATAACACCCCGGCTGGGCCCCCAGGCACACGTACGCGTTCGAGTGGAGCTACAACCAGATGTGGTGGTTTATTGACGACGTGTTGTACTACACCACACACAGGTCTGTTGGGCCTTACTCGTGAAGGTATCCGTTGCCTCGGTGTTGATAAATGCCGCCTCCTGGCGTGTTTCCGTAGGTGTATATATTACACGCGCTATATGTCTATTTGTCTTTCCATCGTTATTTGCTGTCAATTCAAAAGCCCTGCCGGTGGTGATGTCCGCGCAGCTATTTTTTGTCGGACGAGGGCTGGTGGACTTCGAGTCAGACCACGACACCCACGGGGCCCAACTCCCCCTTCGACGCGCCCTTCTACATCATTTTGAACCTGGCTGTGGGCGGCGACTGGCCCAGAGCTCCGGATGCATCCACAGTGTTTCCTTCCCAGCTACTAGTCGACTACGTGCGGGTGCTGGGGTACTGGTAATGGATGAGTAGATGGATGGCGCGGGCAGGGAGGGAGACATAGGATGCGGTGTGCATGTATAGTGATGGTATTAGGTGTGCATGGAACACTACTGCCGCCGCAAGCCTGCTACTGCGGCGTGCTGCCTGCACGTGATGGATGTGTGGCTGTGAACTTGCAAATATGGTTTCATGATATGGTTGATAAGATACTGATAAATAGGAAGTGGGTGATGCCCTACCCTGTCTGCGGGGGCCCCTATAACTTTACGGTAATCATGCACCGTGCTTCGGCGATTGATGAGTATACATGTACATAGACGCGATCCCAAATAAAGTTTCCATGGCTTCACTTTTGCTGTGCATCTGTACGGGTCTGCTGTACATCTGTACGGCATTTTGTTTCGTTGGGGTGTGGAGTCTCTAATCCCGCAATGTACAGCAGTTTGTTAAATATTTATGTAGTCCGTCGGTAGCAGTGAGATTCCAAGCGCGCTGTACGTGACTGGTAATGATAGAATGTGACTGTTGGCGACCATTGGTCCGCGTGATCCCGCCGCCGCTGATCAGCTCAGGCTAGTTGTTGTCATGTGGAGCCTATTTTTTCTAAATCAAAACCTGCTGCCTACTAGTCGTGTATGTACATATCAATGTAATCATAACTGTGTCAATGGCCGTCCGCGTACGGAGCCCATGGCACCGTACGCACGTGTCGCTTTTGGAGGGCACTGCTGCAAGGCCAGTACGTGACTTTCAGCTTGGGACCTGACGCACAGTTCGTTGTGATGAAACCGCGGGCGAATGCGTTTGATCAGCCTTCCGATTTCAATCTTTCATCGCCCTGATTTTTTAGCCTCTGGGTGAGGATTACTGGGGCATACGGGGCTTACTAGGGCGTTGACATTCCGAATGTAAGTTGGGTTTGGATAGCGGGTGGCTGAGCTGGCAGGTAGATGTGGGCCCTCTTGTTCGACCGTGCTCCGAGCGTCGCCTAGCTTTCCGTCGTCTGGCTATCTCAGGTAAAGCCCACTAGGATCGCCACGTCACCTTATGTTCCCCTGGCGGCGTTCTCATAATGAGCCGCAATCCACAGGCGCATCAGTTTTCAGCCTTCTTTCGACCTGCTTTCCTTCTGGATATCCCCACTAAAGCTGTCTCCAGGTACAGAGCCTTTTCGCCTCAGAGGTCCCACAGTAACTTAAAATGTCTCGCCGATGCACCGTTTTTCAGTCAGATCCCTGCGCATTCCAGCCTTGCCTTTTAGCACTTTCTGTAAAACCTTGCGATAACATGGCGGAGCTGTGAGTTCTACGATATGTTTCAAGACAGGTTCCAAGCTGCTTTTCCCGTACGCGATCAGCAGCTGGCTGGAACAGTATACAATAACAATATATTATTTATTATTATATAATATATTATTATATTATTATTATATTATAATAATATTATTATATAATATTATTTATTATTATTATTATATAATAACAATATTGGATAATCTTTATTGTATACTGCTCCACTCGTTATTATGTTTCAAAGAGGAGCCTGTCTGAGCATAATTTTAGTTACTAAAATTATGCTCAGAATACCGGTAATTTATAGGCCTGCAGGTGCTGGCAAGCTTCTTGTATCTTATACCCATATAGTTAATTACCAGCTGAATTTACAAGCTTACTATGCTTCAAGGGCGATGGTGTGGGCTGGCAGATGTCAAAACCTTTCACAACTGGCCTTCCACAACTGGGTTGTTTTGCCTCGAGTCTTGAGTCTGACCTAGCTAAAATTTGTCATGTCAAGCTCAATGGAGCGACAGTGCTATACTCAGTGATTTTTTTTTCATTTAGGGGGGGTCTCAATTTATTCCAACCTAAGTAACAAAGTTGCTAGCGTCGCCGTTCTGTATTCCTTAAGAGTGGGGCGCTGGGGGGGGCTACGCCCCCCCCAGACCCCCCCCGATAAATTACAACTCCCCTCAAGACCAAGAG